AAATACGTAGTTTGTTAAAAAAAAATTGTTTCCACACAATATTAATCAGCTGTCTCACATTTTGCATGGAATTTTTTTCAAGTTACTGAGTTCGTCCGTTTTGCACATTTGTTCAGCTTCGTATATAGAATAAGGGCGCTCCCTCACCGAGAACATTCGCCTATAATGTAACATTCAAGATTCGATTAGGCTGCGATTTCACCAGAGATGTGCGAGGTAGCAAGGCGTGCGTACGACTGCCTCTGAGAGCCCGCGAGAGCTAGGAGTGCCCGCGAGTGCCTTTGAATGCCTGCGAGTGCTTTTGAGTGCTCGCGAGAGCCAGGAGTGCCTTTGAGTGCCCGCGAAAGACACGAGAGCCCGCGAGTGCCTTTGAGTGTCTTTAAGTACCCGCGAGTGCCTTTGAGTGTTTTTGAGTGCCCGCGAGTGACTTTGAGTGCTATTGAGTGCCCGCGAGTGCTTTTGAGTGCCCGCGAGTGCCTTTTGAGTGTCTTAAGTGCTCTTGAGTGTCTTTGAGTGCCTTTGAGTGAGTTCGAGTGCCTTATAGTGCCCGCGAGTGCCTTTGAGTTCCAGCGCGTGCCTTTGAGAGACCGCGAGTGCCTTCCACTCAAAGGTACTCAAAAGCGCTCAAAGGCACTCAAATGCACTCAAAGGCACTCGCAGGCACCTAACTTAAGTAAAGACTTGAAAACATTTCCACCATGTCTGGTGGAGTCGCAGCCTTACAATTTGAACAGATTGTTACATTATGGGCGAATGCTCCTGGTGATCGAGGTTGCCGAATGTTACGCAGCGAATGCTCGGCTCACCTCCCTCACCGCCTGTAATGCTCTCTTTTGAACGTTACCTTTACCGGATATTTATCGGGTAAAAACCCATCTCTAGATGGGGTTGCACACAGTGAAACTCGACATGTAGCCCGACCTAAATATTGCTCTTTGTTTTCAGGAGAAGTGAAGTGTTTAATGACACAACTGTTGAAAGCCGTTCATCATCTGCACGATAACTGGATATTGCATAGAGATCTCAAGACGAGTAATCTGCTTTTGTCACATAAAGGAGTTTTGAAGGTACGATACTATATAAGGCAGTACCATAGATGTAGGAAAAAGTGGAGATATGTAATGACGCTATGTAAGATCGGGTACCGATGTCGCCACTTTTTAGCTTGTGTGCAATTCAAACTTTACGCTCTATTATCTACTACCATAACTTGAAAGATTTTGATTGGGTTAGGGCTTAGTATGTGAAAACGACGTAACACTATTTTAAACTTTAACAAAATCAAACTTACAGTCACTTGAGTAAGAGTTATACTAGGGGTTAAAGTATGAAATTGCCGTTTTATTGCAATAGGTTCTTTGAATTTTCATAGAATCTTCATGGTTTGCGGTTTTCGAATGAAACTTTTTTCAAATGGTTTCTGTGATTTTTTTTTTTTTAAATTTGAAACATTTGAATATCGACTTTCAATTGTTTTTGTTATTCAATTTAGACAAGAAAGATGGATACTGCGAAAATTCGAGTGATTTTTGAATACGAGTTCCGACGCGGAACTAACGCGGCAGAAACAGCCCGCAATATCAATGCTGCGTTTGGAGAGGGGTCTACTAATGAACGCACCGTGCGATTTTGGTTTAAACGCTTTCGTGATGGAAATTTCGACTTAAAGAACAAGCCACGAGGAAGACCGCCCACACAGGTGAATAACGATGAATTAAGAGAGATAGTGGAAGCCGATCCTAGTCAAACTACCCAGGAATTAGCGGCATGGTTTAACGTTACCTTACCCACAATATTGACTCACTTGCGTCAAATCAATAAAATAAAAAAATACGAAAAATGGGTGCCTCATGATTTGACTGATCTGCAGAAAGAAACGCGTGTTGAAACTTGTGTTGCCTTGTTGAACCGGTACAGAAATGAAGGAATATTGGATCGAATTGTAACATGTGATGAAAAGTGGATTCTTTATGATAACCGGAAAAGAAAAATGCAATGGCTGACCCCAGGTCAAATGCCACAACAGTGTCCTAAAGCAAAACTTACCAATAAAAAGGTAATGGTAACTGTTTGGTGGTCTCAGCATGGTGTTATTCACTATAGTTTTCTCCGATCTGGTCAAGCAATAACGGCAGATGTCTATTGTGCCGAACTCCGAACCATGTTGACAAAACTAGCAGTAAAACAGCCCCGACTCATGAATCGATCTTCACCATTATTGATCCACGACAACGCGAGACCTCACACAGCACGAGAAACCATTTTGACCCTTCAGGAACTGCAGTTAGAAATCATTCGTCATCCTCCGTGTTCACCAGACCTTGCTCCAACGGACTACCATTTTTTTCGTGATTTGGACAATTATCTACGTGACAAGAAGTTTTCTTCCCAGGAGGCAGTACAAAATGCTTTCACACAGTTTGTGCAGTCTAGATCGTCGGAGTTCTATCGCAAAGGCATTAATAACCTTCCCATTAGATGGCAGCAATGTATAGATAATAATGGCAACTATTTTATTAAATAAATCTGTTAAAAATTTAAAAAGTAAACAATTTAGATTTTCAGTACAAATCGGCAATTTCATACTTTAACCCCTATTATTATTAAAATGAAATTGAAAAACGAATACAGGCATTGTAAGTTTCAGTCCAGAAATAAAATATTGTAACCACAAACATTTTGGTCACAAACGAAAAAATAACAGATCCCTTGGTGTATCAAAGAAACAAATAGAGGCCACTTATCACAGTCGCGACTAAGCTCGAAATTTATTCCCTGAATCGGACGCTTATAGTCCGGGAGCTGTATTAACATACACCCTACAGTCTATTTTTTTTACCTCGATAACGCGTACAGTTTTCTCGGACAAACTTCAAAGCCCGCGGGTATTATTTTGAGAAAAATAAGTAAGGAAGGACAATAAATTGTTCAACTTGAAAATGTGGTACGCTAGTTGAATAATCACTTATGGGCAACATCGAATATAGGACTTATAGGCAACGAATAAAGTACACAATCGTCACATAAGATCAAGCGGCGGCTTTATTCATATTTGCAATAGTATTTTCCCACTAATGCACGGAAGAGCCCTTCAGTTTTGATAGACAATATTGCGTGAAAAAGAAATGTTATCTTTTTGTAAATGTTTTTCGTTGCGTGTGCAAGTGTGTAAACTATATGTTTTCGTTAGTTCTACATGAACTGCTACGAATCTAGGCTATAAATATGTGATTTTGTATATACACCAATTTTGTACATACATACCCATGCTAACTCCTCTGTGGTCGAGTGGCTTGCACTCCGGTTTCAAGGTGTCGCCATCTCTGAGGTCCGGGGTTCGATCCCCGGCCGGGTCAATGTAGTAAAAACTATCTTTCTATGTTGTCTCGAATCTGGGTGTTTGTGGTACCGTCGTTGATTCCAAATTCATTAACACAAGTGCTTTAGTTACTTACTTTGGGATCAAATTTATATCAAATTAAATGTTCAAGAAAAGACAACCAGTAGCGTTAAATTTTTATTAGATATAATTACGACGAGACTGTTTAACATAAGATTCCGATAAAAAACGGATTAACATGATTCAGATGACAAACAAAGGAATAAGTGCTTAATTACTACAGTATAGTACAATCGGCATAGTAAATTTCATTCGGAAACTTTGTACATACTATGTATCACATAATCATACCTGGCAATATTGTAATTGAATATAAATGTAGGTTCAGTCTGTAGTTAGTTATTTATTATTATTTGTTTGTTTCTAAGAATTCCAAATAAAGTCGGTTAGGTCAATAGTGTAAAATGCATAATTTTTGTACAAAAACGCACGAAAAACAAATAATTAAAATTATAGTTACTCATAATTAATTAAAAAATTAAACTTTATTACCTACTTATCTATAGATAACATTAGAAAAAAATTCATATCAAATAAATTATGAAATGACTTTTTAGTCTATCTATTAGTAGTAATGGCACTATTATAATTATTAAATAAATTTTCTTTTTATAAGGCACTAGATAATTTTGGAAGTGTTTACTTTTCAGGAAATCAGTTAACATGAATATATTTTATATTAGCTTTAGCATCAATATAATATACCACATACTGGCAGTGAATTCGTTAAATTTCTAAATAAATTATCAAATCATATTTTCTCAGCAATTATTTGCAAATGATTAAACACGCACGAATATTTTATATATATTAGTAGTATTAATTGTATCATTCGATTCTCTGGGGATAATGATTTCATCAAAACGAATAAATCTATAACTACCTTAGTTATGGTTCTATCCTAGCTCAGATTGTTTAATCGAGCAACCAGAAACACAGACGAAATAAGGGCCATCCATCCCTGGCAACTCATCAGGCAAATAGGCCTTATAAACTTTTAGATAATATGAACTCTCGCTTGCGCTGAAATCACAAATTAGAAAGCTAAAAACAACTGACTTTAATGTACGTCTCTGTATATACCAAAAATATTCTGTATTTATTGTAATAAAGGTAATATCTCTAACTATTCCATTCGGTGGTGGGAAAAACAGCAAAAAATCTAATTACAAAAGAAACGAAATCACATTTCAAGGGTAAATGATATTAAACATGTAATTTTTCAATTTTCGTCCATTACAGCAAAGCTCAAGTTAAACTGGTCGATTTGAAGTGAAAGAATTGACGACACCCGTCAATTGTTTCGAATTCGGGCTGGCCAATCGGAGCGCAGTTGTCACCGTAATGATACAGCAGAATAGTTTTCAATCAAATTAAATGGCATTTCGTCTCTATTTCCGTTTACATATTCGATGATCAAAAGTTACATTTTAATCATTTATATATAAGTACGCCAATTAGTGAACCCACTCTACGTAAATTGAAGTATATATTTCTAAGTCAAATAGTGATAAAACTCTATCCGTATTGATCTAGTGAAACAAACGTAGTAACGCCTCAATAGTTATAGCTTAATGAGTAACAAATACGATTCGAATAAAATTTAAAAGAGGCGCATACTATGTCCGATATCAATATACACAAACACAAAATACATTAATACATACGACATACACACACACACACACACACATAAGTACAAAAAGCGCACATAACTTGATATTAAAACGGACCATGTTCGCAATAAACATTGGGAATTATCTCCATTATTTATTGAGATTGAATTTTGTGCGTAATTTTAAAATTCGTAGCATAAAGGCACATTTTAAGGCAACTTCTTTAAGCGTTTATTTGTCATACATATAGTCTAGTATAATGCTACATTCATATTAAAATCAAAGTGAAAATTTCACTATTAGTAATCTGATCTAGAAAATAATCTATAGCATAAAAAAATTCTAGAAATCTACAAGACTACAAACTTTAAATATCAGCTGTTTTAAATGCGCTTTGTTCGCTACCACTATATTCCAGATGAATTCTATATTTGCTACCTCCCCGCAGATCCTTATTTTCCAGCGTATGTGGGATTTTTAAAGGTTGATGTTGCTTGTTTGTAAATCGGATTCTCGCCCTACAAAGAAAAAATGCTCGTAAATAAAATTAATAATAACATTTAAAACAAAAACCTTAATTATATTACGGTTTAATAAAGAAGGCCGGGACTTTATGGCTCTCGCTCCATTCTGGCTTTGAATTGGTTCTGCCAAAGCCGGATTTCATTAAAAAGCTATTATTTTGTGTTGACTACACGGGTCCTCGTTCTGCAAGCCACGTTCACTCCGCCTCGCCTTCTATACGTAATCTAATAGTTATGTATGTATACACAAACTTATAACATCCTGTACAACCCTCCTTATAACTGCCGACTTTTTTAATTATAACCAATTATACTAAACGCAAACTAGGATGATCCCTGTGACACATTATTTAGCGTTTGTCATAGAGATGAGGTAAAGTCAATAGACGATAGATAGATGTGTGAAGTGTTTTGAATTATTTGGAACGCATAACTATAATTCAAATGCAATTTCAAGACATTTTAGAAATTTCAAAAACGTTTATCGCGATATCTTTAATTTATAGGTTTCAAAAAGTAATATATAAGACATATTACGTTGATTCTTCATTATCTATGATTAAAATTCATACTTTAAGAATGAATAGTGCGGACTATTATATTTATTCATTAAATTACCGAATTTTTTTATCGATATACCCCATCACTAGCAAATGCAGTGTAATGAAGTAACCTTTACACGTTGTCGTAAAAAATATTTTTTGTAAATAATAAATATGTTTGTTCGCTTATTTCTCACAAATAAACATTGATTTAGCGTTATTTTAAATTTAAAGTATTTCTTGAACAAAACTTAAAAGTGAGGCTTTTACAAGTTGTTTATGAAATACGTAAATTAGTGTAAGTCGTTTAAAATAATGTTACATTGTGTAGATTTTTATGAACTGTCACTCGGATTATCCTAGATTATTTATAGTCTAATTGTATTTTGTTTTTTTTTTTGTGGTTGTCACTTCTCAGACAATAAAAAAATCATATAAAACTTATGCAAAATAGATATAAATGTCGTTTGTTTATTATTTTAGATGTCTGATGTTTGGCACTCATCAATGAGCTTATATCATTGGTACTCACTCATTTGGTACTCATATATTATGTAAGTCTGCCATCGAAAATCACCAATCAAACTCTGAATAATAAACAGGCGTCTTCCTTAAATTTGACGTTTATCATCGTTGTATCGAGAGAAAAAAATTTATAAAAAATAGTTCTCATATACTCACAGTATCCCATTTGGCCATCATGCGTTCTTTCTCGAATCGCGCGAACTCCCGCCTGTCGTGAATGGTGGTGACCATTTTCCATAGCATAAGAAGTGCGAGTCCCACCAGTACGATAGCGGCGATCACGCCCAGGACTATACCCAGGATAAATACCTGAACAACATGCATGTAATGTAAATGTGCATCGTTACTATTCGAAAAAATCCTACTCTATACACACAAGTGGTTCTAAGATAACCAATGTATTTGAAATAACAGGTCTCTCGATAACATGATAAATTAGTTATCGGTACGAGGGGGAAAATAGTGTTAATGTGAGAATTATCATTTTTGCGATGGCATCTCGTATTCAAGGTCTAAGAAATATAATTTAAAATGAATAATATCAAGTGGTATGCAACCTTTTAATGGACGGGTGTATAATTTATTACATAAATATTTTTAAATTAACGCGCATTTAATATATTTAAAAAATTAACTGCATTGACAATATATAAAATGATTGTTACATAGCTTTATATGTATAAAAAGAGCTTTACATAAAATGTTCTTATAACATTTGAATATTATTACAAACGAGAACTACGTATATAAAATTAAATTATAGGAAGCGTATTTAGTTGAAGTCAAAATTATATTAAATGAGCGTTATACCTATTAAAATTAGTTTATTTAGTTTTCACAAAAACGAGTCGCACCCCAAATGAACGACATAAAAAAGCTCAAAAGTAATGAGGTGAAACTTGGGTGTATTACCTTCTTAGGACATTCTCGTTCCTTTTGCGCTCTTATGTACGGCTTCGTATCGTTGAACGAGTATACAAACACATAAAGACAATCTTCATCGTCATAGAAACTGCACAGATGCTCGTTCATTGTTTCGTTCGCTATTAACAAACAAACAGAAAATTTTACAATAATAATTTCATTAGGAAAATCCGATGTAGATTTTTTTATGATACCAGTAGGGCTATAACGCCAGTGGGCGATTTGCGCGAGAGCGACATGAGGCGCGAAAACAATATCTCGCGCTTCATGTCAGCTATTTTCTTTGCGAGAATAGCAGTGTCTCACGCTTTATGTCGCTCTAGCGTAAGTCGCGCCCTGGGTTGTGCTAGCCCCGCAGGTGGCGGGACGAACAAGTCGTGGGCCAGGTGGTAAGCGACACACATGTCCATAGCAGTTGCGAGTGCCACTCAGAACTTTAAATCGCAAAGATTTGAGGGGCACCCGCCACCCAGATACATAAGTAGACTACTCCCATGTCGCTGTAAAGGTGCCTAGAGATTTGCTCGACATTGTCGATCGTTACTGTCGATTGGGTGCCTACAGATTTGCTCAATACTGTCGATCGATATGATGTGTTTTGAGACAGAAATTTTGCCGCATGTTTACTTGAAAAGCTAGTAAATGCAGATATAGTGTACAGGGGGCCTACAACAACCTCTTAAAACAATATTACTTTAACCTTACTTTGACTTTTCGTATCATAACGCACTCAAAGTAAGCTTATTGTAATGTTAAAATTATGATCTTTTATTGGCAGCTTTGTGACTATTCATTCACTCAGTTCGTACTATGACGTGACTTTAACATCAAAGTAACATTGCTCTTTAGCAATCTTAAAATAGTTACATGGATGCAATGGAAACAATATTATTTTCAGTTTTATTGTCTTAATATTGATTTGTAAAGTTGAACTTATTTATTTACATATATCTTTTCAATATTTTGTTTATTTAATAGCACATAGTAAATATTTTTTTGTTTAAAAAAAGTACACGATGTTTCTTTCGTAAAATAAACAGCACCATCTATATGCTCCTTGGCGAAACTAACAGTTGACACACGTGACTATCAAGACTCAGCTTGTTTTATTTATTTTTCTTCATGAAAATACGGAATAATTATTGAAAACAACGTAATTATAATAGATTTTATTATTACATACTTTTCTTTTCTTAAAGTCTAAGTCTAAATTCCCTGAATGTAAATTACATTAAGTACATAAACATTATACTACGATAAGACGATTCGGAACATCAAAAAAGAAAAAGATGGCATTATATAGTTCACATAGCGTTATCTCTTTCCTATTTTTAGTAAGGAATAGACAATATTGGGAAATCACTCGTTCTTTCAATTACTTTTGCAAACAATACTTGGTTGACAGGTTCGTCATGGTACGAATATGAGTAATATTATAATAAGCTTACTTTAAGCTTACATTGAAATAAGATTGTTTTTGGAAGGGTTATGGTAGGCCCCTAGTTACAGAACAGTGTACAGCACAGTTTTACAATGTCACAATTTAAAAGAGGATATACTAATTAGGTTAAGATAGTTCAGTTTGTATTTTATTTTTACCCAATGTGTGACAGGATGATTATCTTTATTCCTTAATAATAAAAAGTTTGAGTGTTTACCTTCGATCTTGCCCTCTTCAATATCAGGATACAGAGTGCAATTCTCGCAAATCTTCGTGTTTGGGTTGTAATTAGGTCCTCTCTTATGCACTTCGCAAAGCACGCAGTCTTTGAACTCCTGACAACGTCCTGGGCATGTCTGCACAATAAGTAAACAACGTTAATTATATTTATTCACTTAATTCAGATTCTATTTGTTATCAGTTCTACAAAATAATCAAGAACAAACACTAATGAACAGTCCACACCACGTAAAACCCACTATTGCTTACGTTTTCTTTGCAAGTCCTGTTTTATTGTCCGTAAACATATAACAATAAGGGCGCGTTCCTATTACGTCGTAACGTTTTATTTATAGTCGGACGACTGTCGATCTAGCTCATCTCATTGTCAGTCTGTCGTCATAACATCAAAAACGTCGTGAACGACAGTTAATCGTGTTGTTTTATGTGAGCGCGCGAAGGGTTCATCAATAATTCAGACTTACAGGGCATTTTTCGCAGAATTTTCCGGAGAAGTGATGCTCGTCGTCGCTCTTGCACACACACTGTTCGCACATGCATTGACCATTACCGCTGCAGATTTCGCCATTCTCTGCACAAGAAAGAACAAGTACATGCAATGAGGCAATCTACTACCTTTTATATTCTTACTCTTACTCTTAGAGGGTGTCCATGTCCAAGCATGAGACGTTTATAATTTTATATAGTAGTACAACCAACGAGGAAGGAAGGTTATCGAGTAGTAACCACGAGCATAAAAGATGCAGTCTAAACATGAAAGCAAGTTTTCAGACTGAAATATACATTTCCTATACGTTTTCGAAATCAATTTTGAAATTCAGAACTTGAAACACAGGTAACAGTAACATCGTCCACACATATGAATTCTATATTTTTAAACTTAATTTAGTTGAACTTAAAAAATATTTATCTCACTCTTGCCGCATTGTGTAATAGTTATTGCGTTATAGTAAAGTATTCTCAAGGGGTGGAGTCCTGGTGTCCTGATATACAGGCAGTGAGGAGGCAGTTGAGGCATCAGTTTCAATGTATTGAATATGTCATCAGAGGTTCATTGTATTGAGAAATAAAATATTATTATTAATTTGTGCTGGAAAATGAAATTTTTCAACGACATGTCCACAAGGTGTAGTTCATCAGAGAATGTGATTTTCTTACCGGGTGACCGGCAAGGTTCCTTGTCCAAACTGCACTGACAAGCAGGGCCGGTGAAGCCGGGCTGACAGGCGCACTTGCCGCATACACACTCGCCGTGATCTGGCCCCGAACATAACATGCCCTTGTTCATGTCGCACGAGAAGTTGTCGCACTCGCAGAACGGTCCTGATATAACCTGACAAAGCCACGTTTATCATATTTGATTATCCTAACATCGTATGTAACAATTAAATTTCTTTCTTATGGCATATGTATACAATTTACAAAACTTTTTTATTTGCATTATTCCTCACTCACTCCGGCACACCTCATTGCAGACAGATGTAACAATATGCACGTATATAAAGGGTGAACGAAATAAAGAGGCGAATAAGTAGCGGATATCTGCTACTTATTCGCCTCTTACCGAACACTACCTTATTTTTAAATATTTTTCCTCTAAGGAAAATACATTTTGTAATACTCTGCGCGAGATACCGCGTCAATCGAACATGAAGCGAGTGCCCGGCAAAGAAAGCCTTGACGTCTGCGAACGCTTTCCCACGTGTTTCGCACCCCCGCCCCCGCTCGTTAAACCACCCGCAACCTCCCTGTTAGTTTGCTTGCGCTTTTGTGTAAGCGCCCAGTTACACCACGCAAAAGTTTTCGTCTGGCCGCCGCGCGGTTACAACCCGGCTTCCGCACTTTCACTTACATTAATGGCGAATCTGAATACTATTTATTAGGCAACATTTATATTCCTCGGGATAATATAATCGCGCGATCGCCGCGAGATACAGGCAAGTTTAATGGCGTGAAGTTTGTATTTGTTTGCTCAAGTTAAAACGTAAATGCTAAATAAATTTTGCTATAACAGTTCGGTCTCTAAACACGTGCACGCGGTCGCTGCGCGGCGTGCGCGCGGTAAAATTCGTGTCAAATAAACCCCGCCCCTGGACGGGACGTCGCGTCGCGTATTCATTTTGCGTGGTATATCGATGTATTCAGATGAATACACATGAATACACAATACACAGGTGTGTAGCCTGTGTAGTTCTATGGAGTGCAGTGACGTTCATAACGACGCTTTATCACTCCACAAATGAAGAGTATTGGGACATGGTGCGGTGTTATGATATGTTATGCAAATGGAAACACTTTTTTTTTTGTTATGTTTAGGGGCGATTTTTTTACATATTCGGATTAGCTATCAGCTACTCGTTTGCCTCTTTAAATATTTCTCTGGTTCAACATATCACGATGTGTAATAAATATATCTTAACTGCCTTTATTAACTGTCTCCGTGGCCGAACGGTTACCATGCCGGACTGCCACGCAGAGGTCCCAGGTTCGATTCCATGGCCAAGAAGAAATGTTTGTATGGCTTACATTTATTTCTCTCGTGAGTTTGGGTGTAATTTGTGGTTGTCTATGTGTGTGTCCATGGCACCCGCGACACAGGGTTTCCCTAGTGCGGGGCTATGTTGAGTGTGTGCGTTATTTATTATTTATTTATATCCTTTTCATATAATTATAATAATAATAATAACGCACACACTAATAGCCCCGCACCAGGGAAGTCCTCTATCGCAGGTACCATGTAGACACACTTAAACAACCAAATTATACCCAAACTCACGAGAGAAATAAATATATAATAGAACCCGGGAACGGTTACCATATATATACAGGATGATTTTTTAGTCATCGTCCAAATTTTTTCCAGCCGCCCGCGCCGAACGCTATCTCGCTATTGAAAACGCATTCACGTGTCACTATGTATACAAACCGCGAGTACTTTGAAATGGTCAAGTGCTATTTTATAAGTGATGAAAGCCTAAACGGAGCCCAGAGACTACGAGTCCGAGAGCATTCCTCGCCTTCGCAATTATGGAATAGCAAGTCCTACAGTCCCCAACCGCCAAACGTTTCTGCATGTCATACAGAGGCTTTTAGACCATGGCCAGTTTACGACGCCTGCACACGCCCAAGGACGTGGTAGGCCGCGACTGTCCGTGGAAATCGAAGACGAAATCTTCGATTTTTTCGAGAGAGATCCAAGACGAAGTACATGTGATGCAGCTCGACGGTTCAACGTTAGCCAATACGCTGTGTGGAAACTGCTCAACACCTCTGGATTGCACCCTTATCACTTTCAAAAAGTGCAAACGCTAAATGAAGCAGACGCGCTGCCTCGTCGAGTTTTCTGCGAGTGACTGATCGCACACCCCGATGCGGTCATTTTATGGACTGATGAAGCCCTATTCGCACGTGTGGGGCTGTACAACCAACATAATGAACATTGGTGGTCGTATCGCAACCCGCACATGATAAAAGACAATTATCACCAAGTGCGTTTTAGTGCAAATGTGTGGGCCGGGATTGTCGGTGATAAAATTCTAGGGCCGTATTTTATTGAGGGGCGGCTGACCGGAGGCACCTATCACAATATGCTACAAAGCATAGTCTCTGATTTGATGGACGACGTACCGCTAGCCCTCATTAATCATCCTGCTTTTTATTATCAGCATGACGGTGCACCGCCACATTACGCTATCCACGTGAGGAATTATTTAAATATGGAATACGGGAATCGCTGGATCGGCCGCGGGGGTCCCGTTCCATGGCCACCCAGGTCACCAGACCTCACACCCTGTGACTTTTTTTGTGGGGCGAAATTAAACGCCGCGTGTTTGTGGAGGAGGCCCAAAGCCTCAACGAATTGAAACTAAAAATTGAAAGTGCATTTGCACAAGTGAAAAGTGACACTACAGCGCTGAACAAAATACAAGACAATATTCAAAAACGTGCAAGAATCTGCTTGGAGAGGAATGGTTTACATTTTGAGCAATTATTAAAATACTGTTGAAAGTTGTTACGCTAAGGTAATTTTTATTTGATTTTAATTAAATGTACATAAGTTGATTCAAATTTTTTAAATACGCCTTATTGCAAAAGGCATGGCCTGCTTTTATTTTTATACTTCTGTGTACGATACGGGTGCGGACTACATTTGTCGTAAATCGATGTTTTGTTTAAATTTATTGATATTATTATAAAATGTTTCTAGTTCAGTAATAAAAAACACCACGTGCGTAGATAACAAAAGGGCGATGGGAAGATTCTTTTTTTTATTACTTGCTAAATACTAATTCGTTACAATTCATCGTAGGAAGCGAACCTTTTATTTGTTTGTCTCACAAACAAAAGTAAAGATTATTTTCTTTTGTTCTCTACACATGGTAAAATTTTTAGTGACTTTGAAATTCAATAAGTAAATTCTTCGATGGCCTTCGGTAACACAACGCTTTAAATGCGTAGAAGTTATGTTCGGGAAACGAACTTTCCTAATTAGGTGTGTTTATCAGGTGCATTATTTTTATCATTATTTTGTAATAATATCATTAAATTTTGTCAAACCTCTAAAACAATTTACTTATAAATAACTTCCGCTCTCGTTTTCGTGCGTTAATGTAACAAAATCTTGACTTGAATTCGAATTAATTGTCTACATTCTAAAATAACATCACAAAAGCCTTTTGTAACTTGACGGTCCTAAGCCCGTGAAAGTATGAAGGGAAAATTTGCAACTTATGTATTTTATCAATGACGCGGGGGTTGGCCTAGCGCGCATATCGAGTAGGCTGTCCACACGCGCGCAATTTTTTAAAACAATTTTGCGATGGCATATCTTAATTTTAGTATTGATTTACACTAAAAGGAAAATTTGCGCATGTTATATTTTCACTAAAGATCATAATATGAAAGTTTGGACGATGACTAAAAATTCATATATATGGTACCCGTTCGGCCACGGAGGCATTTAAATAAAACATTATATCTATAGTATAAAACACGTATCAATAGTTTTTAAATTAAGTTTGTTTTTTAATTAAAAAAAAGTGCGCTTATGACCTGATGGAAAGTGACGATGAGGACGACGATGAAGCGTGCACCCCTAAATAATCTCTCCTACTTCAGGGAACAAGTCTGCACGCAGGGCATGCCACTCCATAGCCGTTCGTCATATAAATGTGGAAGTGTAACCCTTCATACGAATCCTTGGAATATATACAACTTTTATTTCCTCAGGGAAAAGTATACCTTAGTGGGGTCAGGCATCTTCTCGCAGTCACAGACGCCGCAAAGGCAGGAGCCGCGTCCGGAGCAGACGGGCCCAGTGGTGACATTATGCGGGCGGCAGCCGCGTTCAAGGTCGGGTCCACCACCTACACTCTCCGAGCACTCGCAGTTCTTGCCAAAGCGGCCCGGAAAGCACACGCACACCCCGCACTTCGACACGCCGAAGCCGCTGCAGACCTCCGGCCTGTCATCGTATGCCTGCAAGCACATATGATGTTGTTTCAAAATTCGACGACTTTCGTGGCATTTGCTTTGTGGACGCAGGACGGGGAGTTCCCGGGTTCGATTCCCGGTAATTTGGATAATTAATCAATTGGTACTATTCTAGATAGTCCCCGAAGTCAATTCCGCTGTTTTGGTACTCATAACATAGGGGATACCTCAGTTTGAGACCAGTGATCGGAATAGTTGTCTGGCACATTTTAATTATAATTCGATCAGACAAATACCCTTTACAAACATTGGCAAAGACCTTCAAAATCCTTTGTCTCCTTAGAAAGAGGAGAAACACGTGCCGTATGATAATAAGTGATGGGACGAATAAGTCGTGCGCCTGATGGTAAACGACACGCCTATCCATAATAGTTGCGTGCCACTCAGAGCTTCAAATCGCAAAGATCTGAGGTGCACTACCTTTGCGCCCGTCACCATGAGACAAAAATTGACAAGTCCCGGTGTGCCTGTAATTTCAGCAGCACGCTTACTCTTCAATACCGGAACGCAGTAACGCTCACATTATTGCTTGGCGGCAGAAATTGGTATGGTGGCAGTACTTCTCTAGATGAATTCATTCACAAGGAATTAGAGCTCCTAAATCTGGTTATTACAGAACGCCACTTTTGCAAAGACCAGTGAAGTAGTAGCATTCTTCGGAAAAGTTCATTCCCGTATTTAAACTAACAAATAATTATCGAGTTTCATAAGTTATCTGAAGCAAATTTACCTTATACTCCACAACTTCTATGAATACTAAAAAATACTTACGAATTGTCCAGGATGCTCGCAAGGGCAGTCGCAGATCATGTCAACATTGACAGTGAGACTTTCAGAAACACCGACAGGTGCGATATCAAACGACTGTAGCCATTGATTCGGGTCTTTTGGACATTCTTTAAGCGTGATCTCTGCTGTGAATTCAACTACGTCTCCCACCTGAAATATACGTGTATGGAGACTTTATAAAAAAAAACAGATTAAGATGTGAACTATTGAATATAGTGTTCTTTTAAAAGGGAACGTATGGAGAAATACGAAACCATACAAGATATAACAAACTGTGTTAGAAATCATTAAGTCTTTTTTGTGAAAACAATTGAGCATAATAAATTTTTTGGTCAAGCGTGAAATGTCCTTACAAATCATTGTTACAAATGAATAAAATTTATCAAAACATTTTATTGCTGATCGACTCAGTTTCATGAAGGGATCATTTCATTGTATGGGAAGAAAGACAGGACAGCAAAAATTGGTCAAAATAAATAAAATGTTTTTCATACAAAATGAATAATAATTCTTTTCAAATATTTGGTCGAAAACGAAAAAATTTACTATGTAAAAAATTTTTACAATAAAAGACTTCATGGTTCTTAAGACAGTGTCCTAGTATCTTCTATGGTTTCGGATTTGTCCACACTGTTCCATTTAAAAAAACCTGAGTAAATCTCATAAGACTTAAAAAACTAAAAAATGAGTTACGTGTATAATTTACAGGAAATATAATACTATAAATAGCTTCATTCGCAGTACGAAATCTTGCACAAGCTTTATTGAGGTTATATAGTTATAAAAAGGCTTTAACTTCGAATATCCAAATCCTTTCGATCTCTCCTACGTAAAGAATCGTGAACCTAAATTCACGACATTACAGGGAACGTTTTAATTAGACATGGCATTAATAGCTATTTGTCAATAATGAATTACAACTGTTATCCGATTTTGCAATAATTGTTATTGTAAACTGTTGTCAGACAATCTGTTATTACACTGTTTTGTAGTTTTGCATATAAAGTAATAGTGATAGCGAATTAATATTGTGTAGCGCACAAATCGCAGCATCGTCCAATCATTTGATTAGCGACATTTCTCTCAAACAGCTATTGGCTATTGCATAATTGCTTCTTCACGCGACGCAATCGCAACAGCCTTCAATCAAATATATCGAAGGCAACACAACAAGCAGGCTGAATAGCAGTATAACAACAGGAGTTTGGACAGTTGTTCGATAATGAGTTATACATTGTGTAAGAATAATGCATTACATTATCTGATAGTATAAATGATGACCACTTCTAGTTTTAATGTATCAAAAGAACGAAAATGAGCATAATAGCTGCGATGCTTAAGATATTGCATTGAAATTTGATACATACTCATTATTTCTCATACTTTATAATTTTACTGCTGAGTATAATAATAGACCTAAATAAAAAGTGATTAATGAAAAATGCACTAAGTTTTGTGGTTTGCAATAAATTACGCAGGAGAAGTCGAGTCCAAAATGTTACACAATAAGCGAAAAAATACCTTAAGTCCGTCGCAAACATTGGTTTGTGTTTTCTTATCCTTGGGTTCGAGACACGATGAATAATACACCACTTGCAATGCGTCACTCGCTGTATCTTTCATTTCGACTGTTGACGTAATTTTCTGAAAAAAACGACGACTCTTGATTGTGTATCCGGTGCTAATTTTTATTGTCAATTTAGTGCTGCGTCATAGTTACAGTCATAATCGGGTACCGCACCACAGTCGCGCCACTGCAGCGCGCGTCTGTAGAGATTTTCGTGTCATGAAAAGCACTGCAGTGGCTCCACTACAATGCTTCTATAAGCGTCTAATTTATATTAAAATTATTTATTTTAATTTTTGAAAAGAAATATTTTTTAATTAATTAGGTATTAAGTAACGTAGAAAAAATTCTTTTTAATTTATTATTGAGTAACGAAAATTAATATTGTATTCAAAGTAAATTCAGCACTAGATGAAAAAGTTGCATTAAACTAGATTCGACTAGAGTATAGAATCTCTCACGTTATACTGGTCCCGCACGAGATCGACGACGTTGTCAGAGTCTGCACTAAGGACTCCGCTGCTTGAGCCTTCGATATGTTTACTCAGTTCTTCATATACATGGTGCTGTTCTGCTGTTACCGCGAATATCACGTTTATCGCATGCTTCTTCACCTACAACACAAAAAATACTGTTACCTCCAACTGAAAGAAACACAAGTAAAGAAATATACTTATTAATATATAAAGTGCCAGACAACCACACCAATTACCTAGTCTCAAATTAGGGAATTCCCTGTACTGCGCGTACCAGAGAAATCGTATTCACTCTGGGGCATGACCCAGAACACCCAGACCAAAACCAATTAAAAAATATCTATTCCGCAAATTGGTCCTACCGGGAATCGAACCCAGTAGGGTTAGCACAACAGGGTGCGATATGCGCGACAGCGATTTAAAGCGCAAGATACTGCTATTTTCGCACAAAGATCTCGCGCAAGTCGCGCTCTGTTGTGCTAACCCTGCACAACCTCCTCATGCAGCGCCCACAATGCAAACACCCAAGTCGCTGAGGTGGTTAAAGATTATTGATATGGAATAACAACGTAAGTAACAAGTACCACGCTCTAAGTTTATACATGCCCAATGTTTGTAATGTCACGTTTTAAATGTTTTTTTTTTTAATTGGTGAAATATCAGGCACCTGTGACTTATAAACTTATGTTTCAGGGTGACTGAAACATAAGGCACACGACTTGTTCGTCCTGTCACTTGATATTATAAAAAAAGTTATTTTTGAAGTCAAAAACAAACATGTTTAAAGAAAACATGAATACTAACCTTCAGGTTTATTTGCGAAATGCTGGGATAATCTTGAACAGTAGAGTGAGTGTACCCATTGTTTTCCATGTGGCATTCACCGTCGTTTGGTTGCACAATACCACCAAGCTACCAAAATTTAAGTGTTCAATATCACTTCAGTAATAAATAAGTTACAAAAATTAAAGCTAGTTTAAGCTAATATAGTATTACTCACCTTACCGTCACCAGCGTAATGGAACCCAGCGTCTGTAGAGAAGACGAGTAGTCTTCTGGCCTTGTCTCTCCAACCGATCTCTTGCTTGCACACAACGGCCTGCATGATCGCGTCGAATCCGCCCTCCGGTGCATCCAGGTTGCCAGAAACGTCTGCTTGGGCCACTGCATGCTGTTTTGATCAATTACGAATTGTATATATTGAAATACCCATTCGTATGAAAAGTTTATGAATTTTGGAGATTGCAGATCAATCCTATTTTTTACGATATCAGCTGACGGGACAAAAAAGTTGTGCGCCGGATGTTAAGCGACTCGCCTGTCCATAGCAATCCCTAATAACAGACCCGATGGATAGAGATTTCCGGAGATACTACGGGGTGTCCGGTAAGACCAGTGGGTCTTTTGGAATAGGGCCTAATGCGAAAGGACGTGCGCGACTCGTGAGATGCCCTTTAAGTTGGAAACTATGTCCGGACACGTTCGTAGGACACTGTGACTGGCATCTCTGGTACTAGTCAGGTTAACTAGTTGAAGATAAGTTAGATATCCTCCTGTCGATCCCGCCGCGTAAGAATAATAGGAACTGAATAGGCTTACGGAGAGGCGTCGGGAAGTAAGAGTACCTACGCTCTTTACCAGGGAGGAGAGTTGGTAGTTGAATTAAGATTCAACGGCTTAGCGGTGGCAACCATTAGCTGTGTAATGCACAAAGGGAAATGAGCGTACCAACAGCTGAAGGACCTATCTGGAAAATAGAGAGGGTGCACGTATGGCACCTGCATCCGGGGCCGCTCACCCGAGGCTAGTGCCTTTTGAGAACCGGATGAAGTCCTTGACAACGGTCTGTTACAACCCTATCTGATAAGGTCAGGACCTGAACTTATATGATCCCTGGACTTGATTTATAGTTCACTTCCCGTATAACCAAGAGGTTGATAAGGACTACAAAGAAAACTTATGTAGAAAGATACGGGACTGTCCATAACAGTTGCAGTGCAATTCAGAGCTTTAAATCTGCACACTGCGCCCGTCACCCTGAGATATAAGTTGACAAGTCCCATATAGGAATAAAATGCTACAGAAGATATATGTTATAAAAAAAATTTGAAAATCATATTAATAAAAGATACAAACAATGAGTGAAACAGAACTAATTTTAGACGCATAATGTAGAGGCTCCATAAAACAAAGAGAATTGATGTCAACTAGTATCTCAATTATCTTAGTGTAAATTATAACAAAGGAATTAAAATACTTTATGGTTTTAACACATTAGGTCAATGTAATATATTTTACTCGGTTGTTTTGCTAATTGTGTATCCATGATGTAATAAATGTACGCTTGCTATTTTTTTTTCGTTTTAAATAATATTATTTTAGATAAAACACTCTCATTCTAGTTTTTATTTGTAAAGAAAGTTTTTTTTTTAAATAATAATATCTTTTAGTAAACTATTATTACCGTATGTTAATAATAGTTCACAATATTTTAATAAATAAATGTTAAAAGTTTCAAACATTGATAGATACTTCACACAGGCATTTCTTTACTTGACAGAAGAAATTGTTTACCAAATTTGACTGTATTTTGTTTATATTCTGTCTTTTCAATAAACAAATAAAAGGGTATAAGCAAATTTAACGTTCAGATTCTAATATAGATATCATTAAGTACCATTTTTCCTGGAAATTACAGGATTATTTAATATTGATTTGTTATAAAAGTCATATCTTTATCACTACTGTTTGTCGCAAGTAGCAGGGCAAAACGGCTTTACCTACTCCGATTACTGGTGATGATTAATGACTAATTCATAGTCATAACACACCTGTGTACCTGACATTATCAGCACATGTCATTGAAACTAAATATTATTTTAACTGCTACATTGTGCATGTGGTACAAGAAATCATAACAAATATTAGAAATAAATGATGCCTCTGTATAGAGGACGTTGAGATTTTTCTGATGCCAAACAGTAATTATAAGCTAATGCCTATAATTACTGTCAGTGTTGGGCAAAATTTAATTGTTCTGACAATTAAAGATTGACAATTAATGAATTGTCAATTGCGAAACAGCAATTAACGATTGATCTCGCAACTAACGTCATCAATCGTTATCATCAATTGATCAATCGTTAATCGCGTATATCTACAATTAATCAATTTTCAATCTTTTCAATGTTTCTGATTAACAATTAACTTAAAATTTAAATTAGGTATGTGTATGTTTGGGTTGTGAGGTTTAGGGGTAAGTTAGGGTCTGGGTTGGGGGGGGTTAGAGGTGAGTTAGGGGGTGGTTTAGGGGGTGAGTGAGGGTTTGGATTGGGGGGGGATAGGGGTGAACTAGGGGTGAGTTTGGGGCTGGGTTAGGGGTGGATTAGGGGGTGAGTCAGCGGGTGGGTTAGAGTGGTTTAGGAGGTGGGTCAGTGGTTGGGACAGGGGGTGGGTCAGGGGGGTCAGGAGGTGGGTCAGGGGGGTCAGGAGGTGGGTTAGGGTGGTTAGGTTAGGTTAGGTTAGGTTAGTTGGGGGGCCCCCCCGAAGGGGTTCCCGCCTTGTCGTGGCGGGGGGGCTCTAGTAGCCGTGGTCGATTTCATCCCACGGTGAAGCTAAGAGGAACCCACGGGGCCGGCCGATGGTGGTAGGCTGGCCCGAGGAGGAGGGCGTTCCGCGCGGGCTCGTCTGGGCACCGGGACCGCGCGGATGCGCGAGGAGGAGGGTCGCGGGGGGAGAGACGTGTCGGTGTGTCGTTGCCGCTCGTCCTGTCCTCCGCGACCCTGGCGGGGCTGCACCGCTTTTAATGATGCAGTGGCGGCGGGGCCGCGGGGGAAGAGACGTGTTGGTGTGTCGTTGCCGCTCGTCCTATCCTCCGCGGCCGAACGTGGGCGGTTGGCCCGTGGTGGGCGCTCCAAGGGACTCTCTTCGGAGAGTCCGCGCGGAAGCGCGTTAGGTGTTGCGGCGGAGCCTGTCATCAGATCCGCCGCGGGGGCTGGGAGAGCAACCACTGAACTTCACAGTTGAGTGGATGCTGTCCTGGCCCCCCATGGCCCCTGGGTAGCGGACTCGGGGGAGTTCGTTGCCCAGCATAAAGGGGCCCGGGTTGGAAGGCTCGTCTGGTGTTCGGCGAGCCTCACATTCGGAGTCGGGGGACCGATGTGTCTCCCTTCTCGAGGAGGGGCTGCGCAGGGCGCGGCCAGCCGCTGGTGGGGGCGCGGACGAGTGCAACAGCGTACCCGTACCCCCACCTACAGCGGAGGGGAGGAACACTCCGGGGGTTTAGTGCGGTCGGGCTGCTCCCCTTCAGGGTTCAGCCCAGTCCCACATAACCCCGGCTCTGCCCCCGCGGGGCCGGGGTATCTGTAAGCAGATTCCCTCGGAATATAAAAAAAAAAAAAAAAAGGTTAGTTGGGGGGCCGGTTGAGGGGCCGGTTGGGGGGCCGTTTGGGGGCCGGTTGGGGGGCCGTTTGGGGGCCGGTTGGGGGGCCGGTTGGGGGCCGGTTTGGGGGCCGGTTTAGGGGCCAGTTGGGGGCCGGTTTAGGGGCCAGTTGGGGGTGGTCAGGGGTTTCTGACCCACCCCCTCTTTAGGCACCCCACTCACACACAGCACCCCAATGTAATTGATTAACGCCCAACACTGATTACTGTTTGCAACCGGAATGCAGTAATCTGCATTCCGGTTTTGAAGGGTGCTGATGAAATTATAGGCACATGGGACTTGTCAACTTATATCTTAGGGCGTGTACATACACGCTAAGAAATTCGACGCGTCTGCTACAGAAAACATGAGAATGCTCTTGTACACGACAAGAACTTTGTCGGGTCTAGCCACGAGAACATGTCGTGTCTGTTGCAGACGAGAAAATGATGAGTATGTTACACGATACGAATGCTTTTGGACAGACGTTTGTAGGATAAAATGTGTCAGTACATTACTCTTCAGTCAGTACATGAGTCTTCCTGGTAACTGTTGTTTTACTACCGACTGTGGGAAGAAATATGTTATTGTATATGTTGACTACTAAGCAACACCTGTCCACGCGCATAAACGATTGTTTACTGGCAGAGTGCGTCGTGTAGGGGGTAGACAAAATTTTTTTCTTGTCCGGCGCCGAGGCAGTGTACACGGTTCATGTGTAGAAACGAGACGAATTCTTGTATAGACCCGGCGCCTTTTCTTGGCATGGACACACGCCCTTAGGGTGACGGGTGCAGTGGCAGAGTTCCTCAGATCTTTGGGATTTTAAGTGACAAGTGGCACTGCAACCGCTCTGGACAGGCGTGTCGCTTACCACAACGCGCACGACTTATTCGTCCCGTCACGTGGTATCATAAAAAAAAGGCAGGATCGTGGTTGATTGGACTAAGAGAGGCCTAACCCAGCAGAGAGTCAAGTGGGGCTCCGGATAGTGGGATATTGCCTCTAACATATGAAGAGACCAAGGAAAGAATGAGCAAAGTCACTTAAAACACGTTCTATGTTAGTCTCGCCGTTCAGTTAAGTAAACGCTGAGCTGGTAAGGTTCAACGTCCTGAAAAATTAGCGTTTATTTTAGTCATAAAAATGCTTGCAACTAAATGGCAGAAAAGTGAAAAAAGATTTATAAATATTTTTAGTTAAAATGGATTACATAACGGTACATAATTTATGTCAGCATTGACTTTATTTCAGGTACTATTTTTATGTCTTTTTCACCAACATTTAAAAGTTCTCCTCAAATTCTCAGCGACTTTGATCATTCTTTCCCTAGACTCTTCATATATGTTCTAAAATGTTATCATTTCCTAAATACGTTCTAAAGTATTTGTTTATTTTCATAAAACTAAACTTGCCTCAAAGTAATCTGTATCGATGCTCAATGACATTTGGTTTCTGAATCCGTAAGGCGCTGCACAGCCTTCGCAGGGCGAGATAAGACTGAAGCAAAAAACGAGATTTTTTAATTTATTTTATGACAGCAGCTTAAAAAAAGATAATCTTAAGGGGTGCGCCTTATTTCAACGAAAATAGGAAAAAAACTAATTGTAGTTGATACCGCTTATTGAATATAACTGTACTTGGACTTAATACACTTCCTATTATTCAATTTAATATCATTATCGTTTGTTATAATATTCACATTTCATAAGAACATTTTATATAAAGCTGTTTTTACATAACAATCATTTTATATATTGCCGATTTACATAATTTTCAAAAGGTTTTTACCGTTGATATAGTAATTAATATTATATTATTTATATTTATAATTTTTATATAATTAATATGGTTAAACCCGAATCGGCGACCGAGTAAAGTCGCCGTGATACTTGTCTGTCCGATACTAGAGTGTAATTTAAAAGCTGGGGTGCGGAAGAAGAGCAGTCCTCGCCCGCTGTAACAAATCTTTAAATGATGTACTTTCATTAGAGATTAAGACTTTTTTCAAGTGTAAATTTATGTGCTTTGCTTTCCTTTAGTAGGTTATATTAATAAGGTTATATATAACCAGAAATGGAGACGAAATAAGGGCCATATATTCCTGGTAACACATTAGCGATACAGCTCTTATAAATATCAACTCCCGTTTGCACTGAAATATAGACAGGCCAACTATTGTCCTGTGTGTACATCTCCGTATATTCCAAAAAATATTCTGTATTTATTGTAATAAAGATAATGTCTCTAACAATGCCGTGCTGTTCTATTCAGTGCGTGGTGTGGGAAAAACAGCAATTGACCCATTGACGACACCTGTCAATTGTTTCGAACTCGGGCTAGTCAATCGGAGCGCAGTTGTCACAATAATGATTTGGCAGAATGGTTTTCAAACAAATTAAATGACATTTTATAATTGTAAGTCAATGGACATTTCGCTCTATTTCTGGTTATATACTCGATGGTTAGGTTAGAACATTAAAAAGCAGACACGAATTTGTTTCGGTTCCCGAACGTGTTTCTTCATTCTTAGTCACTCGCTATTAGGGAAATAAAAATAAAAATGTTTTTGCTATTAGTAAACAATCAGGCATTAGGTGAAGTGAAATTTAGATTAACTTGTTTTATACAAACTAACAATAACACTCATTTTAAATAACAATAGCAAGTTATAAGACATTACATAACCAATCTCAGCAGTCAATGTAAGACGTAAAAATACTTTAGTCAAGTAATTTGTGATTATTTAAGTATGATACAGAAATTAAGTACGTAACTTACTTTTTGGGAACAGTAGATACATAAGGCATAACAAGTTTGTCGACGAAAGATCCAAAACCAATCCTGAAATTTGAAGTGATATTTCTCATAGTGCTGGAAAGCAGACTGCCGAGTGTACTCAGCTTTTCTTTATCGTTTTTCATGGATCTACTCAAGTCCATGAGATAGTAGAGATCTACTGGGTAATCTTGCGCTTGAGCGTATGCGAATGACAGTTGCTGCATTTCACCTGCAAAAAATTAGGGAAAGGGTGATGTTTATTTGTAATTTTGAATGCATATTACTATTACTTGAGTAAGGTATGTATTCCAATACAGTTACAGCGGACGTAATCCTTATTAGATAAAAATATTTTTTGGATGATAAAATCGTTTGTTATTTTAGTAGCAAAAAGGTTTCATTTTACAATGTTCATATTATTATTGAATATATAATTTACCCATTCGAAGTTGCATTTTGGCCCTTTGTGGTTTAATTTGCACAAGGTCGGATCCCGACCCGCCGCCACCCATGCCACCGCCGCCTCCGAAACTGCTACCTTGACTCAATGACTCTTCATACGTTAACATCGACTGCTGATTTCTCCCTAGCGAAAAAGTAGAGAAATGTTAGTTGTTTGTGTATATACTTACGTCACTTAAGTTACTTTCGGTCTTTTTTTTTCATTTTTACGATGGTTACCTCTGCTTAGCTCTCTGTTAAATTCAGGGTCGATAGTTCGTCGGCTGTCAGGGTTGAAGATAAACTCCTCGCTACACCCAGCTATAACGCCGCCTTCCATAGCGGGATTGAAGCACCGAGGCCCATTGATCGGCCCTCCGGGGGCAAAGCACCAGGCGCAGCTAGGCGTTCGTATGCACTCGCTGCATGTCGTCTTACTCGAACAAGGGTTCTGCGCCAGCAGCTGTTCGGCACGTTGAGCCTGACATGTGGCCAACAAGCTAAAGCACACCACATTCACTATCGACCGCTGTGCCCACATTGTGTTTCGTGTTCAGATCAATATCTGTAACAATGAAAATGTCAATCTTAATGACACTGCTTTGTTGTGATCCTGACGTGGGTTAATTGATCCCTTTTAGCTTTAGGCCGGCGCTAACCTTTTAAATAGTTAAAGCTCCCGGCAGAACACAATATGGCTAATATAATGGGATGACTTTATAATTTTGTATAAAAGTTTGAACAGTCTCACCATGTGCTGTGATTAAGTTAAAATGGCAAAATTAGTTTATTCAACCCTGCTACTGTTTACGGGGTTACCAGAGCAGTGTAAAAATAGAAAGCTGTCTCATTACGAGTGACCTAGTAACAAGCTCAAAACATAACTCACATAACCGTGTGGGAATAATGGTTTTACAATTATTCAACTTTAGTCACATCGCGTCGTATTTTAAATATCGTTTTGGTGTCCCCACAAGCACAATATTTTAACGCGAGTAATAAAAAAATTAAACAGCACACTTATTAATGATTTTGCCAGTGGCCCAGTGAAGACATGTGGTATAGCACCGGTTGTCGTTTGGGATACGAGTACGCACCTGTGGGCGGCCAGAGATAGAAAGGGCGCCGCCCACACACCCGTATCGAGGTCGGCGGCGCCGCTTCGTAGGCCGAAAGCAATACAAACATCGCGTTATGATAGATACACTTCTTGAAAAATGCAATTTAAAACTTTTCTAACTATTTAACGCATGATGGATTTGTAAACAAATGTTTGTAAAACGTTCAAATAAAGAACCTAGGAAATTAAAACTTGAATTAAAATGAAACAAACGTAAAACTTTTCTTATAAGTATAATAAAAACAAGCTAAAGACGTTTTAGTGCTAATCTCCATACACCTATCAAAACATCTATCAAGGCGAATAAAACAAATAATTACCATTTTCATACGTACCCAAATAGTCGTCGAGAACCTGAACATAAACAGTGTAACAGATTTTGATCACTGCATTACTGTCGATTAATTTCAAATAAAATATATTGATTCAGACAGTGATTAAACATATAGTGCATTCCATATAGCAATAGTGATACCTTTATGGAGAGTATAAATAGATTGTTGTTCGATCAAAAGCACAGGTAAGTACTTACCAAAAGAAGCGTTTTCAAGCAACAATTCAGCAAATGTTTCCTGTCACCATCAACTAAGCAACTCACTAGATCCGTTGTCGATTGTTATTTGCAACTTGTTATCACAGCCAGTTAAATCACAATCCACTTATGAGTAATTGTGACTGACATTTGGAAAGTGAATTCACTATTACCACCTATATTTACCTATATTATACACCTATATTTTATTACTATTAATTTCCAAGTATTTTTTCCTCATACGGGGAAAGTGGAGATAAAGGTAATCCTTATTAAATATCACAATTTTAGACTAGCAGCACAAATACACTGTAAAACTGGAAGAGTAATCGTCACTAAATAGCCTAATAAAAGTCAATAAACAATTGGGCTAACTACGCTCGCATGTAACCAGGAAAAAGGTCCTTAGTAAAAGTTTTCCTTAATATTTTTTTATCATTTACGATAATTTCGAGTTGGAGCGAGTGCACTGCGCGACCTGCGCGTGCGCCGGATACACGCGTGACTAATTGTACAGAAAATAACCTGGAGACTTCGTCAGCGGGTGATACAACGGCCGCCGTCATCATACCTTCTCGGAATCGATAGCCTATACTGTTAAGAACAAGAATCAAAACAAGGCTTAGCAGACAATTGTTTTCAATAAAACGACCTTGAATGACCTGACCATGTAAATAGGTCAATGAGAATACGTGAAGTTCCAATTTAATATGTAGAGTTGGATAAAATACACCAATCTGCTTAATCAACAGTACAAAAAGATAGTTACTCTTAGAAAAAATCAACAACACAGATGGTGGAAAGTATGGCATGGAATTAAAATAAATAAAAATGAAGTAGGTTGCTTTAACTCAATGACCAAAACGCGTCTTACAAAGACCAGTTAGCACAAAAACCGGTGTTTCTGTAGGTCGTACATTACGTCATTGGTAGTGATGATTCAAACTGTGCTATCGTAAGCATTCCTTCGTTTATACATTCGAGTGACCATAGCAATATGCAAACTAATAGAGCACAATTAACATACAACGTTGTGGGTAGTTGTGATTACGACCTTACAATTAAAATGTCGTTAATCAATCTCTAGCCGTTAAATTGGTCACTGAAGATAAATGAAAATAGAAAGCTATAAATAATTACAATATTTCTATAAATCAATCTTTTTAAATAAACATTCAAAGTAATACGACGTTAATAAGACCAAAGGGCATAAAAAATAAGAACCATGTCCTTTTTTGCGCAAAGACTTCAGCAAGTTTCCGTATAGCGGCGATAACGGGGGTGCAGACCGGGTCGACGACCGCACTCCCGCCCGTTTGACGGGCGCGGCGCCACCGCAATGCACGCATCCCTACATACACATTGCCGTACTTATGTACACAATCATTCTGATAAGCGTTTTCGAATATGACTTTTGTATGAATCGCAATTTGTGTTAAGCAATATAAAGAAGTTTCAATCAAATGAAAAAATAGTAAACACCTAGACATAATTGTTACAAACATTGTCGAAGGGTCTCGCACTTAGATACATGATAAAATCTGTACATAAAAATAAACGATTTCTTTAAAAAAACTGTTACTACATAGGACGCACTATAATTTTCCGGAACTGGCCACTTACATAAACAATATTTAAAAAGTAATTACAACATTTGAAAATGGAACTCTTTGGCTATATGTAGAATACAGCTTGTTTCATCTGACTGTCACTTGATTTTACATTGTGGCGTCATTTTAGAAATTGGTTCTCCACATCACCATGTATTTAACTCGTGAAAATTTTCGTAGTATGATTTTCTAAGACTTTCAGTGTAATTTAACAGCTCAGCGAAGCTTCGCTCGGCTTCAAATTGCATTTGGCGATGAAGCACCATGCAAGACGACTATTTATAGCTGGTTTGCAGAATTCAAACGCGGTCGTGTGAATCTCAGTGACGAATTTCGTGATGGTCGCCCGTCCAACTGTAAACTACTAAACTACAAACCTGCTGTAAACTACAAAAACATCGAAGCTGTGCGCCGTACGATCAAAACAGACAGGCATGTGACATACCATGAGATTCGGGCATCTTTAGGCATAGGCATGAGTCAAATACAATCAGTACTACACAAACATTTGGGTGTGAAAAAGGTGTGCTCTCGGTGGATCCCACACAATTTGACTGAGGCTCAAAAAACGGATCGCGTCACTTGGTGCAATGCCATGCTTACCAGATTCAACGAAGGGGCGTTAAATTGTGTGTGGGACATAGTAACAGGTGACGAAACATGGATTTATAGTTACGATCCCAAAACAAAGTAGCAATCGAGCGTATGGGTCTTTCGAGATGAGCCGAAACCAACCAAAGTGGCGCGCGTGCTAAGTGCCTCTAGGCGGATGATTGCTTCTTTTTTAATAAAACTGGACACGTGGCTACTGTTGCTTTGGAGAATCGTTGTATCGTGAATAGTGATTAGTACACGACCATTTGTTTCCCGGAAGTTATTGACAAAATCCGTAAAAATAACCGTAAATACCCGTCAAAAAATCTGACCTGGCACCTTGTGACTTTTATTTATTTCCAAAAATTAAGAACCAGTTACGCGGTCAACGATTTTCATCACCTGAAGAGGCTGTCGAAGAGCATGAAAAATATGTTTCAGAGATTGTCACGGAGGAGTGGCATAAATGTTTTCAAAATTGGTTCATTCGTATGAAAAAGTGCATTACACGCTAACGGAGAATATTTTGAGGAACAATAAATTCATTATTGACCATTTATAATGCTTCTTTCTTATTCATTCCGGAAACTTATAGTGCGCCTCACGTATAGTCCATTTGTTTAAGTAATTAACTAAATGTAAACAATCTTGAGATGTCTATTTAATGAAATATACATTTACAAAATGATTTTTACTTACCTTCAAATACAAAATACAATTACTTAGCTTCATATGAAATTGCATGCCTATTTTTATATCTATTGATTTGTAAAGTATGTTTCAGTAAAAAAATATAAATTGTTTACATTTAGTTAAGTACCTAAACAAATGGACTATAGCTCAGTTTGGGAAACGCGTCTCTACAATGTATCCTGGTTTTAATTTCTACTGACGAGCCTCCACCACCGAGTTTATTCGAATCATGTGCAGTTCGGTGTACTACCATTGTTATTTGTTTAATGGTAACAAAAGTATCATAATGAAAACCGCAATGGAGAAGTTTCACAAATGACATGCGAAATAGCAATAGGCCAACATGATGGATTATACCTACAACCTCTAAAGAGGAGACTTATTACCACTTCTGGAGTGGGGCATTGAAATGTCACAGGGATCTGATAAAATCAGCAACTTCTTTTTTTTATAAATCAAATCACATGGATTTTAGGATTACAACTCGAGTTTGTCATTAGGTACCCTAAACAATTATAAGCGTATGATAACATTAATTTACGTTTTGATTTAGTGAAAAAATAAAATAATAATCTCAGTAGAGAGTACAAAAAAACCGACCCTTAGGGTGGCATATTTTCTTCAAATTTAAACGGGACCACTACTGATGTATCCTCTTTCCATAAAAAAAAAGAATCATCAGAATCGGTTCACAAATTTCTCAAAATCGGTTTAAAGGTTATCGCGTGCATTCATACAAAAAAAGGTGGGCTAAACTATTAAGTTTCGATTTGAGCTTAGAGTCGCCAGTAAGTAAGTCTCCTGGCTCTGCGTTCAACCGAGTCAAGAGCCTCAAGTTAAATTTTATTAAAGTTAATAATTTATAGAATTTATAAACTTTAGACTGAATTATTAGCGCTAAAGTTAAGATCTGTGTTCAATGTCATGCCAAGAGTCCAGACTGTCGACTACAGGGACATATATACCCTATAAAGGTAGGAGTCATATCAAATGGACTCGTTTTTGCGGAAAATAGACAAACCCTGCATTTTGGTGGTGATGAAATTTGTCCAGATCCATTTGTACCATATTATCACCTCCCCTAAAGAGATGAGACTTAAGGTCCACTTCGTCCGCTTCACCATGGCCTCTTTCCTCCGAAGACATTGTTGGAATTGAACATGATTGTAATTGCAGCCTGAGACACATATTGGGCCTTGTCATTAAAATGCCGTTATTCATGCAAGGGGAGGTTCTTTGGAACAATATAAATAGAATTAATCCCTGAAAATCTCTATGTTCATATATAATATAATTGTATTCATTATAGTTTTATTTTATATTTAGCATATCAGTAAGTAATGTTTTTTCTTAATTGACAGAATATAGCAGTTGACTCTGTAAAATAGTAGTCAAATAAATAAAATTATAAGCCGATCTGTAAGTAAAACTTTAAAAAAATTAGAACAATATGCCAATGCATTAAATTGTGGTACTCCCTATATATTGTACTGCTGAGCGTTGGTCTCCTTTATGTAAAGGTATTAGAGCATAGTCCATCAGGTTTGATAAATTTAAAATATTATTTATATAACACACTGAATTTATCTTTTATATCACATAGTAAAGGGCTGGTAATTAAAGGGTACGGCTGCTAGCGAAAATATAAGTCACAGTTATATCTTCAATAGTGACTAATTGATGGCATCTACATAGACTAAACAATCTCCAATTTTCACAGAAGGGGCAGTAAATTTGTCCTTGATTTATCTGTTTATTATGATAATATACATCATATAGTAACAAGTGTATTCAATTTGCAGATCAATTGAGGAATTTCAGACCAAAAACTGATAAATCTAATAAATAACATCCCCAATTTTGTCTAGTTTCATTGAATGAATTAGTCGTATTGTATTCAGATCCATGCATTTAAAAGATATTTTATTTATTACATATCATATTGTACATTTGAAGGAAGATTTAGCAGTTGCCATTCAGGTTGCATAAATTATCCACAGATACGTACAAAAACGATCCTCTGGCATTCAAAAAGAAGAACAAGTCAAAATGTGACTGATCAGTTTCTGTTCAGATGCTCTTTAATTAATTTTTGTCTGGGTTATCTTTATAGTACCCCAAAGTGTATTCTGTTGCTCTCCTCTGATTTAGGAACAGGTAATTAGTGAATTTCACATTATTATTGTTATTATAGATAGTAGCCAAATATCTATTGATATCTGGCTAAAATCTAAAATATTATGAATTTCACAAAAATACTTTGTGGTGTTGAATAAGAAGTATACAGCAACACATTAAAAATGTAATTGAGGTATTTGTTCTAAGTTCTAAGCCTTTGTTTTGTTTTTGTTAGAGTTAAAATGTTTTCGAACTGAAGGACTTTGTATCCAGGTCATGCAATAAATTAAAAAGAAAAAATAATAATTGAGGTATAAGGTATAATTAGTGTAGTATTCCAAGGTCATAAAGGCCATTCAGGGCCGATAGAACTTTCAGAAATATTGAAGAAAACTTAACAGAAAAATAATAATTGGCAAAGAAAATGAACAGTTTGGCAAAAACTAAAATGAAGACGATAAAATGTTAATATCAAAGTCAGTCAATATAATAGAGCAGAGTTGAATTGGTGAACAATGTTCCTAAACTTCTATATCCTTATAGTCTGTCTTTTTTTGACAATTTTATTGATAGATTGTGAAAATAGGTAAAATTTTGCAAAAAATGTGTATCAATATTATGATGTTGTAATGATTACTAATAGTGTTATTGTATTATTTATTCTTAATTTGACAGTTGGTCGATTAGTATCAAAAGAAATTTTTAGTCATACACATTTTAATAATGACAGGTGGATTTCAATTATGTATATCAAATTTAAAATAAAAACTTTAAGATTCTCCTCCTCCTCCTCCTCCTGTTTGTATTTTTTATACACATACTTACACACATAAACTTAGTGTATGTATATATAAATTATCAAAAATTAACAATTCAAATGAATGAGTTGGGATGAATAATTAGCCGATGATGATTCTAATGAAACAAGTCCGGCTATTTATTTCTAATGCATAAGTAACATTCAGTTGATAGTCAATATATAATATTTATCTACTGCAATCACTAGGTTCTTGCAAGCAACCAAAACTTTTACGCAATGAACTGTCATTTTACTCCATCTTCAAAAAAGACAGACTACACAATATTGTCTTGCATAGCCTGACTATGACTTTGGAAGCATAACATACATCTGAAAATTATTTTAATTAATGGCTGCATGTTTTTCTTACAACAAATGGGAGTCTAAGTCCATTGGCACAAAGAAATCAAACTACAACAACAATCACAATCAAATTCTACCAACATGTATCAATAAATAAATAAAACAAATATTTTTTTATGGAGTTTTCACAAATGGTGTTTTTAGCGCATAAAATCCCTAAATGGACTTCGGGGTTTCTGGAACTGGGCTATTCAATTATAGTGATAGCTGCTCTGTAAACACTTAATAAGTACCAGCTTACTGGTCATATTAGCAACATTTATTTGGAAAAAATATTTTATTTCTATAAATATAGAACACACCTTACGGCTGCTGGAAGTTGTTGCGGTCCAAGTCTCCAGCAAATTTTCGCTCTTTTAGAAGTGAATAATCAGGTCGCGGCCCGAAGGTTTAATGATCACCATTATAAACCCATAAAAGGTAAAGCACTGAAATCACTTACCAGCATTAAATTTTATGTTTTCAGCAACTTAAATTCAGGGGCATATTTAGTATTTCATTTTAGATTTACGTATAAAATCACAAAATAAAAACATATAAATAAAAATTACGCGAGATTACTCACTCCTAAAAATGACGTTTGCTAACCTATCCATATTTATAAGCAGTGTTGCCAGACTTTTACTAAATTAATTCGCCAATTTATGGCTGATATTTGTCCAAGCTATAAAATCCCTAATAATCAAGGATAGCAAAAATAGCCTAAATATCGCCGAGTCACCGATCACTTTTTTAATCGCAGCGCAACCCTTAAGTAGGCTAAATGGCGAAAAGTCGATTGTCTGCATTCTGTAATCTCTATCTGTTAAGTAAAGCGCCATCGATCGCCACCTGTGTTAAGACTATTTTTTCTTATTTCAGTGGTTAAACACAGACAAAATAGGTTATAGAAATCTTGAATGCAACAATAAAAATTGTTACGTTGGTAGCTCATTGATTTTTTCGGTTATATTGTCAATCTGTTCAGAGTTCCACCAATCGCAGCGTTTCTAACCTTTCTTCCAGCGTGACCAGATTTAGCAAGATCCTGCGATTTTGGCAGTATAAAGCCCCTAATTAAGTATTTAGCAGATTTTGTAGAGTTAGAGAAAATTGGCAGTTTTATGTTCTAATAACCTATGAGGAAAATTAACAAAACAAAAAATTTACAAATTATATGAATGTATAAGAAAACTAAACAAATTTCCATTTTCAATTGATGTTTTTTTTATTTTTCTTCATCATCATATCAGCAGCAGCTTGATTTTGATTGCCTCTCCCGATCGGAAACTGTATCTTTTCCTAGTCGAGGCGTATAATATTGCGGATGGGCTACCCGATCGGATCGATTCCGATTTGAATTAAAATCAAGGCCCAGCCGGAAGACATTCATTGCTGAACATTTAAGCAACAGTAGAGCTCCTTGTCAAAAAGTTCGTCCAGGGAAGTCCTGCCACCTTGCCTATTTCTGCCGTCAAGCAGTAATGTCAGCATTACTGTGTTCCGGTTTTGGAGGGTAAGGGTGCTGGTAAAATTACATGGGACTTGTCAACTTATGTCTCAGGGTGATGGGTGCAGTGACAGTGCCCCTCAGATTTTTGCGATTTAAAGCTCTGAGTGGTATTGCAACTTTTATGGGCAGGCGTGTAACTTACCATCAGGCGCATAACTTGTTCGTCACGTCACTTGATATTATTTAAAAAATATATATTTTTCTTAATATATTGGAAACTCTTTTGTATTAATTTAGGGACATGGTATTATTACTCTACTCTTTGTATTACCCGTAAAAGATGCAACCGATATGCTTGCATGTACTACTTTTAAGCATAATACGAAAATGAGTTTCATGTGAAGCAGGAATCCCTTTTGTATAAATATAATATGGAGTACACGTTAATAAATAAATTGAATTTGATTTAAAAATTAACATGTTTATGAAATATTAGACATCAAACAGGCAAAATGTTATGCCTTCAAATAATTAATTGTCAAGAGAGTTTTTATTTCGTACTAGTTGTGCCTGCGATTTCATACGGATGAACATCGTTTATTAATTATTTGATTTGTTTGATTATGGATAATACTGGAATTGCAACGTTTTAGGTTTAGTAGTAGGAATATCTTATAGGTAGAAGTGATTCTTCTTTAATATATTAAAAGTACAGGCTCAGCTTCTTTACAATTTTATTGTATGTATTAATTCCCACACAAAATTTGAATTAATTCTAAGTATAATTTTGACATTTTATAGAGAATATTTATCCGATTTCAGCTGTTTTCAACCGAGTGGCTAGCATAGTCATCAATTTAAATTTGGTCACACTGTCTTCTTCCACAAATCGAAGAATATGGCCGACATTTTGATATGCTGTCATGAAGATTTTTCAGTAACATAAAATTTTAACTTTCTAGTTCTTCATGCACGGTTTTAGGTTCCAAAACGTTTTATATTTTATTCAATAGACTGTGTTTAGTGTAAGCTATTTTGTTTTAAAAAATGGCAGCAGATCGCGAGGTTGCTGCTGAAGACAGTATTCGAGTTGTCTGCCGATTTCGGCCACTGAACGACTCTGAAGAAAAGGCTGGATCCAAATTTATTGTGAAATTTCCATCAGGACCCGACGATAACTGCATTTCTATAGGGGTAAGTGATATTGGCAATTACAACCCTTGTACTCCATTCCTTTATCATCGCCCTAAATTAGATCATGATGACTAATACATTACGACTGTTCACCTGCTACGAAATGGCCTTTCTTTTCCATTCCGCTTCGATGATCACGATTACAATCGTGAAATTTCAGAGATTCTCGGTGAATTTTATCTGAATTGGGTAGATACGTCTTTGTGTTGACGAAAATCAATACAAATACCTTCTCGACCTTGACCTAAGAATTGCTCGAATATTTTCAGGAAATAAGGACCTCTTGTTTATAAATTACTGTAGGATCGTTTATTTACATCCAATGTCAGACATTTCTTATTATTTGCGAATTATATTTTTTGTTGCATTTTCGATTTGATTGTAGGTGTCTTGCTACTACTATCTTCGCAGCATGACATTATTGATTTTCTGATTATGCATTTTTAGTGATAATTGTACTTAACTAGCAGCAGGAGTGCTACTAGAAAATTTCAAATTTGTTGTTTTATTTATTTGTACATTACAAATATTTATTAAAAAATACTTAATTATTTTAGAAAATTGTTAAATAGGTCTGTCTAGTAGTTACAATATAATAAGAAAATGCAACCGTGTTATTTATAAATAATACCTATTGATATGAAACTGAAACAATGTAGATAAATAAGAAATAAAATAAACCGGGCATGGTATCTTAACCTGCCGGGAGTGTGGTAACAAAATGTTACAAAGACTGTATCATACAATATTAACTCTTTATATTAATATTAGCATACAATATTGACTCTGAAATTTTATGTATCTAACAGATAGCATTGGATTAAATGTGTTTTATTGTAAATTACAATGTGATGATTTGTTATAAAAAAAAAAGTGAAATTTAACACTTACTGTATTATAATTACAGAAAATTAAAAATTACTTAAGTTTTCAAACTAAAATTTTGATATTTCTGAAAAGTCACAAAAGAAAAAAAAACAGTTTTAATGAAAAAATCTACAAAACCTTGTAAAACATGAAAATCTGTGAGTAAATAAACAAAAAATTTACTATATTTTTTTATGAACATCTTAGGAGCTTAAATTGAAATCAGTGCAGTTCTTGCAAAAAAAAAATCGCTTGGTCCATGCAATGCCATGCATATATGTAGCATACTGCATGTATGCATATATGTAGCTTTTCCACAACATGCAAATTTTGTTTTACGATCCTTCTTGCTTGGGCAATCTCCACATCTAATGTAGTGACCAAGAGCATTTTGCAATGTTGGACCTGGAGGTTCATTGATTTGGGATGAGATTTTCTGACGAATAGATGTTGGAATATTTTTTTTATCTTTTTACAACTTAGGTGTACATGACCTAAGACAAGCCTAAGTTATGGAGAAAGTCGATTCATTTGGTGTTCATGACCTAAGACAAGCCTAAGTTACGGATAAAGTCGATTAGTTTTAGGTGTTCCTGACTTGATTTTCACGAAAAATTTTGTTTTGTTCATACTTTATGGGTTGCTGAATATAGCTGATCCACAAAGTATGGTTATGGATCAGCGTTGGCTGTTACGAGAAACATTATAACTATCCAACAATTCATCGACAACATCCACTGCAGCTTTTGTTTTGGGTTGTAAAACAAAATAATTTCTGGTTTTTTCTGGTGTTGTCATCTATTTTATCAATAAAAAATAATGCAAAATTTTGTCATGAAATGTAAACACCAGCTATGTGGCTGGCTATTACACACCTGAACACTGTTGACAAGTGTTTAACTCGAGCGATGGTTGCTGCAACACTGTGATTTTGACATTATCCCCTCCCATGTCCCTTTCTTTAACTTCAGCTTCACAAAACAACAAAACGTTTGAATAACTAATAAGAAAAATACACTCATAAAATGTAAGAGGTGGGTATGTCACACACGGCCACACTCCCGCCGGTTTAAAAATCTGAATTTAAAAAATAGAACAAAAGTAAAATACACCACATATCAACTGACTGAAAAGTAAACAAGCACTTGTGAGATGATGTCAGATTACTGAGCTGATTCATTGCAAATATAATGCGCACTCTACATAGGAATGTGAATTTGGGTGAAGCGTCTTAAAATACTTTCAATAATTATTATGTGTTTATGAAAGTTTTCTTAATTCATAATCTATTACAATTTCCAATATACACTATTGAGACACAAAGTGTTCTTATTAAGTGAAAACAAATACTAAAAATTTACCTGAGATTAGTTTCACAATTTTATTAGTTTTCACATTTCATCTACCCACAATTATGCTAATGTTTAATGTCTGTAGTTATTAATTTTTGATCATAAATATTAGTAAACAGAAAGAAAATTGTTTATTCCATAAAAAAAATTACAGCACTCTACACACACAATGAATTAAAACAGTATGTATGTAACTTGAATAGCACCAAAAAGGTTCACTTCACTTCCTCCACCAAAAAGGTTGTGATGTCACAAACAAAATATTGCGCTTCCTTTGTTAGTCTTGATTTTTTATTTCTAGTAACTATTTTATTTGTCTATGAATTTCACTTTTGTTTTCACAAGTATTTCAAATTAATTTTTTAAAGCTAATGAAAAGTGTTTCGTTTTTCATACTTAATGAATTATTTATTGATCCGAAATTATAAATTTAAAATAGAGATATTACAATGCATAATATAGAATACTACCTATGTAACAGTAATACTCAAATTTGGAATAATTTTAAAAGCTGGAATTTGCTCACTTTATTATATTGAAGTATAATTTGGTCTAATTTGCCTGGTTCTTAATTTAATTAATTATTCTATCCTATTGTAGGGAAAAGTGTATTTGTTTGACAAAGTATTCAAACCTAATGCGACCCAAGAAAAGGTGTACAATGAAGCAGCAAAAAGTATTGTTTTGGATGTTTTGGCTGGATACAATGGCACTATATTTGCCTATGGTCAAACCAGTTCTGGAAAAACACATACTATGGAGGGTGTCATAGGTATGTATGGTTAAAACACTTATATCAAAAAATAATGAAAGTATGAAAGACTATAATATACTAATACTATTTTCAATATTACAGGCGATTCTGGCAAACAGGGTATTATTCCAAGGATAGTCAATGATATATTCAATCACATCTATGCAATGGAAGAAAACCTGGAGTTTCACATAAAAGTGTCCTATTTTGAAATTTACATGGACAAAATTAGGGATTTACTAGATGGTAAATTTATATTTATTCTCATAAAAGCAGTTCTTTTATTTGTGTACTTTTATGAACTGATTTTGTATTTTCTTTGCAGTGTCGAAAGTTAATCTCAGTGTTCATGAGGACAAAAATAGGGTTCCATTTGTAAAAGGTGCTACTGAAAGATTTGTGTCAAGTCCAGAAGAGGTGTTTGAGGTTATAGAAGAAGGAAAATCAAACAGACATATTGCTGTCACAAGTTTGTATAATAATTTAATTGAATTTATTATCACTTAGCATCTGAAAAAAGTTTTGTAATGCAATGTTTTCCATTCCAGACATGAACGAACACTCATCAAGATCTCATTCAGTCTTCCTAATAAATGTAAAACAGGAAAATTTGGAAAACCAAAAGAAACTATCTGGAAAGCTATATCTTGTGGACTTGGCTGGTTCTGAAAAGGTAATTTCAGTTCACTACAATATTCATATGATATGTTCTATAATAATATCTTATATTTTTTTTTAAAACAGGTATCTAAAACTGGTGCTGAAGGTACTGTACTGGATGAAGCTAAAAACATTAACAAATCATTGTCGGCCTTGGGTAACGTTATTTCGGCGCTAGCAGACGGCAACAAATCGCACATCCCTTACAGAGATTCAAAACTGACCCGTATCTTACAAGAGTCGCTTGGTGGTAATGCGAGGACAACCATAGTCATTTGCTGTTCACCTGCTTCTTTCAACGAGAGTGAAACGAAAAGTACCCTTGACTTCGGTAAAAGGTGCGCCATTTATATACAAATTACGCAATAATTTTGTTTGCAAACACAGTGTTCACTCTTTATACATTTTTCAGAGCTAAAACTGTTAAGAACGTTGTATGCGTCAATGAAGAACTTACAGCTGAAGAATGGAAACGTCGTTATGAAAGGGAGAAGGAGAAGGTGGCTAGGCTCAAAGGAAAGGTAAAGGAATGAAAACATTCTTCAATGTGTACTAAAAAGTACACATATATTTATGTTACTGTAACTGCAATAATAGGTTTGCAACTTGTGTTTATTAGGTGGAGAAACTGGAAGCGGAGCTCAGCCGCTGGCGGTCTGGCGAGACAGTACGACCCGAAGAACAAGTCAACCTCCAGGAGATCGATGCTGTCACACCTGTCACATCCTTCATTGAAGAAAAGCCTCCAGCGCTGCCAGTAATATAACTTTCATCCAATTCATCTCAATTTCTTGGGCCATTAAAACTTATTTGCAGTCATTAGTTGTTAGTGAGGAAAAGTAATTATTAGAATTAGCAGAAAGTACTAATATATAGATAATAGAAGGAAGGATATTTGCAATCTTGCAAATACTTTACTACAAATTTAGTTGTAATGGAAACTCTAAATTGTTACCTAGTTTGGTGCATAAAAATTGATCACTAGTGTGGTTACTTTACTTATATGAGCTAATAAATTGTTATATTTAGCCGGTGCCGGTAGCAGTGTCGAGTGCGGTGGAAGATGCAGCAATGCAGGGCAAGTTGGAGGCATTGTACCAGCAGCTGGACGACAAAGACGAGGAGATTAACCAACAGTCACAGCTCGTCGAAAAGCTTAAAGACCAGATGTTGGAACAAGAGGAACTCATTGCTTGCACAAGGTTTTTTTCTCTCAATAATTAACAATACTCTTAACACTAATTGTACTTCTTTTGTTTTGTCGATCATTTCCTGTTCGAATCCAATCGCGGGACAATTGTTTTAGATGTTACATAACGTTGGTTATGTAACCTTAAACTTTGTAATGTAGACACTATTTGTGCATAACAAGTATACAAATTTACAGTAATGGATCTGATAGAGGTATTAGCTAACTTTTAATCCATTGGGGGATGATTGGCTAAGGGTTGGCAATGCTGTTTAAAATTTATTTGTGTGCCTTACACATAAATATGAATATACAACTTACTAATATAATATAATCTCTTTTAAAATGTATAAATTATGTAAGTAATGTTAGTAAACAGCATTATCTCACACAAAGCACACAAGCCTGGTTCAGATAAACGCCTAATTCATATTAATTGCATATAATTGCATAAAAAAAAAAAAAAAAATTTTATGGCCTAAGCAGCAGAAGTTGGTGTAGTGTACTAAAATTATCATTCAGCTGTTACTCAAAGGAGTATAGTCGTGGGGTGAATCATAATGAATCAATGTGTGTACAAAGTTGAATGGCTGTTTGAATGCCGTTATAAATTAACTAGATTGCTTGGTTTCTTTTATGGAAAATTTTATCTTTGAATATGGTCCTATAGGCGCGACTACGAGGCCTTGCAAGGTGACATGAACCGCATACAGCAGGAGAATGAAGCTGCAAAGGAGGAGGTAAAGGAGGTACTGCAGGCGCTCGAGGAGTTGGCCGTCAATTACGACCAGAAGTCGCAGGAGGTGGACAGCAAGAGCCGCGAGTGCGACCAGCTATCTGAGGAGCTGCAGACCAAACAGGTACTATTTCGCAGTTTTTCCCTTTCTCCAGCTTTAAAACCTTTTGTGAGTTTTAAGCTCTGACTAAGGTTTTAAACTTTACAATCTGGACTTTAAGCCTTAGAATTAAAGTCCAGATTGTAAACTTTTCAATATTCCTATAGGCATTCAATAAGACCATAAACAATTTCTATATACTGTTTCTTTTCTAGAGTGCTCTCACAACGGCGACGGCGGAATTGCAACAGCTTCGCGACATGTCTGCACATCAGCGAAAGCGCATCGCAGAATTGTTGACCAATTTGCTACGCGATCTGGCCGAAATTGGTGCCGCGGTCGGCGGCACCGAGCTCGACTTCAAGCTCAACGTCGACACTGTCGGAAAACTGGAAGAGGAGTTCACCGTCGCTCGCCTGCACATCAGCAAGATGAAGAGCGAAGTCAAGAACATTGTACAACGCTGCCATTCTCTCGAGTCTGCCAATATTGACGCCAATCAGAAGGTTAATTGTCTTTTTTTATCAAACACTTATCTTTTTAGATATTTATCTCTTAAATACTGATCTGGATCAATCAACTATAAGTGCAGGGTGTTGCGTCAATGCTTTTATCATATTTTATTGGCCAAGTATATGTAAAGTTTTGGTACTGAGTTTTTCATTAACGATTTTGTTTGAATTTTATAACAGATCGAAGAGTACGAACGATCCCTCGGTGAGTGCAGGCTTCTGATCTCACAACATGAGGCGCGATGCGCCTCACTTGCAGAATCGATGCGCGAGGCCGAAAATAAGAAGAGACAGCTGGAAGAAGCTGCGGACGCACTTCGTGAGGAATGCGCTCGCCTGCAGGTATTATATCTTTAGTTCGCCGTTTAAACATAAATTTTTAAATTTGCCCTCTTATTGTCGTACTAAATCGGAGATGATGTTGAGCCCAATGGTTACTTGGTGCAGGCGGCCGAGAAGGTGCAACTCGCAGCGGCGGAGCAGCGGGCGGACTCGCAGGTGCGCAGCGCGCTTGAGGCACAATTGGAGCAGCTGCGAACCACGCATGCCACGCAACTGGCAGCTTTGCGCGACGAACTCGCCGCTAACCAGCGCCAGCTGCAGGAACTCAAGGAGTTAGTATTACAGCACATTTAGAACGCCGACATCAGACGTCAAGGTTTTGTTGTTGTTTTTGCTGAGCAAAGGTTAACTTTCTGTCTTTCATTAACAGTTCGTACCAGGAGTTGACTCTGGCCCGCCAACAACTGCAAGACGACTACGATAAACTGAAACGCGAGGAGGCCGACAAGTCTGCGAAACTCAAGGAGCTCATGTTAGTGTCTCGCTCACCCCGCTGTGGTCTCGACAAGGCCGAGAAGGAAGTCGCTAACCAACAAATGATCCTCAAGGAGGAAGGCGATTTCAAAGATTTCATTATATCGCCTAAGAAAGAGAAACTAGGTTTCGTGGGCCTTGAAATAGAGAAGGCCACAGCCAGGGAGGAAAAGTCGCTCTCGGCAATCCCTAAGTCCCCCGCGCGACTAGCGTGCAACATCCACCCTCTCCAACTGCACCTGCTTATATCCGTTACCATGATCCTTCTTACGCATCGCTACCCACAGATAGTTGTTTTGGTTTAAGCTTGTATCTTTATAGCTTGTGTTCTGTGATATTCGCGTGTATCTCGATACATTTAGACAATATTTTTTGCAGTGCCTTTTCATTCAATCTGAAACGCTCAGAATGTTGACCATAGATTGATTTTTAACTTGTCGAGATCCATGATGTAACCTGAGATATGCTATTTTTTCAATCGCAGCAACTGGCTTATGGCAATGTTCATAATTTTAGCAATCATGAACTTTTAAAGCGGGCATATGTAATTCCTGAAAGCCAGTTGTTTGAGAGTTATTCTTTAGGAATTTAAGTGTTTTTGAAGAAAATTCTCCATAATTTGTAACCATTTAGAAAACTTTGCTTCGGAATTCAATGTTATGCTAGTGAACAAAGCATTTGTAACTTAGTTAAAATATTTCGTACTATAAGGTCTTTTTTAATTTTACCAAGGGCTATTTTGTTGGACGTAGTTTGATTTTAGCATGTTTGGAAATGTGGTATTTGTTACTAAGATCATGGTCTTTGATAAGTGCTAAAGAAGTTCTGTATTAATATAGGTGTCATAATGGACAGTAAGGATTTGAGAATTGTAGAATATAAAACCTTGTTCCATCGTCGTCGACGGAGTTTGCTAAAAAGCTGTCCGCAAGTAACCAACACAGATGCATTCTTAAAGTTGTGTTAGAAATTATTCACTGCCTCGTTATGTTCTAGGTGTTGATACATTGTTACCTTCGTTTAGTAAATTATACTAACTTTAAAATGCAAATGCAAAGAGCATTTTGTACCAATGAATTTTGCTCTCTGAATTTGAAGATACTCTGAACCATAAATAAGTTCAGTATTAACGACTGACAACATTTATATCAAATAGTTGGATCTTTCCAGTCAGTGTATATTACTGTAAATAAATTTAATGTTTGTATAGAGAGTCACTTCGTAAATATTTTTATCAAAATATTTTTCTAAATGAAAAAGTTAGATGTTAGTCGGGAGAACTTTTTATCTTGTATGAACCTGGATTATGTCTGTATAAATGTGTACACTCAGTGTTTCGCGTTACTAGGTTGTAAGTGAGTATTTAGGCAAATTGAACCATTTAGTAATTGCCAACGACCTTCATGTTGCATGTCAATACACTAAAAAAATTTATCTATACAGGGAATTTAAAATAATTCCATTCCAATTTAGGCATTTGTGTGTTTGGCAGCGTTGCTGTTTTTTACTATTTATACATTTATACCCTTTTTGTTATTGCATTTACGCATGCTGCTACTGTGCATTCCAATAACCCACACATCAGTAATTATTTGCATTTAAGCACTGATATCGATTATTCCTAGTGTCCATGTCACTTCCCCTAGTCTCTGTGCACTCGAAATGCCGAAGAGTGATTGTCGCCTCAAACGTGAACTCGAAATCGTGCAAATAGACAATTATTGTAGTGCTATTGATGTATTCATAGTAAATTTTTAAATTCTAATTGCACGAATTCGTAACCCGGTCATGGCTTAACTTTGACCATCAGTTTAATCTAGAACACGTTATATGTAGTTCGACTGATTTAGAGCAATTTTCATTTTGTTTCTAGATTGAATTGTAATTTACACAGTGCGACAGAAATTATAATGTTAAGTTACAAACACATTTTGTAGTCCGTGTAAGTAAAAAGTAGACGTAGTATGGTCTTGTAATGCCTTCCGCTTTTTAATTTTGAGTTGTCATTTTATTCCGCACGTATCCCATTCATATTCATTCTGCCGGGAGTTGGCATTGTGGGACGTATTCGGCCTAAGAGTACAGAGTGGCGATGTTATATGGATGGGTGCGTGCTGGAAGATATATTGCTCTGTCGCATCTGTTTACAGGTAATTGAAATTTGTGGCGTTTCTAACATTGAGGAATATCCCAGAGCCTGCGAGGGCTATTATACTAGTTGTACTAGCTACCTTTAAGTTTTCATTACATTCAGCTCCCGCGATTTTGAACAATTACGCAACTAATGTAAGCAATCGTACAATTACTTTTTAATAGGTCGGATATGTAAATGACGATATTTTTACAGTCAAAGTGTGGAGCGGCGTGAGCAAGCTCGTGCAGATCTCAAAGGTTTGGAAGATACAGTTGCCAAGGAACTTCAGACCCTGCATAATCTGCGAAAGCTCTTCGTGCAGGATCTCCAGGTAAGTTGACCCTATTGTAGTGTATTTGTAGCACTGATTAAGAATATATTATACTGTTATTTGATTTGTTAAAACAATAACTAACAAGTACCATGTGTATAGGCTAGGATAAAGAAATCCACCAACTCGGAGGAAGGTGCCGAAGAGGAAGGCGGTTCGCTCGCTCAGAAGCAAAAGATCTCTTTCTTAGAGAACAACCTGGAACAGCTGACGAAAGTGCACAAGCAGCTGGTGCGCGACAACGCCGACCTACGCTGCGAGCTGCCCAAACTCGAGAAGCGTCTGCGCGCAACTATGGAACGCGTCAAAGCCCTCGAAACTGCGCTCAAGGTCCAGCGTCACATTGTATCTTTATTTAGTTCAATTATCCGCGTTTATCCATAAAATTAAAATAAAATTTGACATGAAATGTTTACATGAATTCATAATATTTATATATATAATTCATATATATTATGTTTTCACTTTGACCTCGCAGGACGCTAAGGAAGGTGCTATGCGTGATCGTAAGCGGTACCAGTTCGAGGTGGACAGAATCAAGGAGGCAGTCCGAGCCAAGAATCTCGCCCGAAGAGGCCCACAGGCGCAAATTGGTAACTTCATCGATAATATTATGACAATCACACTCTCAGCATAGTAAATTCAGTATACATCCCAATAATGATAAATTTGATATTAATAATTTTCTTCTTTCAGCAAAACCAATCCGAGCTGGTGGCGGTCACCTAGTGGGCGGCGGCGCGCCTGGTGTCGTACGGCCAGTGCCTACTCAGGACGTGAACAGGAAACCCATCATCGTTGGCGCACGGAGTAAGTCCTACTTTCTTTATTGAGATGCTTGTGAAACAATGAGAACCGAGGAAATAAATTTGCCGGTTATTCAAGGAGTAACGATTTCCAATTCTATAAACCAAGTCCTGATAGCACTTTTTCTATAATGTTTTATTTATGCAGAAGCTGTCATGTAGTACCGGGTTCATCAGATTTTTAAATACTTTACATACCTTTTATTCCATTACAGATGAGAGTTGAAGAGACAGCCGTTACATCATAGAGAATTTAAGGAAAATTTCATAGATGTATTATTTGAGTACTGGGGCGGCGTAAAACAATCTAAAAAATTATACCCATTATATGACTACGTGTTATAAAAAGCCTAATGTAACTGCAACAAAAAAGGAATAATATCATAGTACTGTTAGGCTTATAATCTTTCGAGCTATGTAATGTTAACGTCAAGTAAGTGCACATGGATTTAGAGCAGTAATAGCTTTCGCTAATTATTATATAGGAAAAAGTTTCATAAAATTGATATCTGTTATTGTTAAATACCTGGGCAAAAGTATTACCATTATATATATATATATATATATATATACACATATAGAAGTTTCGATGGGAGCTATATTATATGGCGTAACAATTCTGGCATAATAAATTTGCACATTTGTCAATCTGCTGAATTGTATTGGAACATTGTGCGGATTTATTATGATGCACAAAATTGTTTAGCCAATTTTTATAGACCCGCTTCGATGGTCTTGAAGTTACTATTTTTTAATATAAAACAAATAAAACAATATTTTTATGAAATGACAAAAGTACTAAATTTAGTTGTCTACTTTAATACTTTTCGTACTACAACGTATGTAATTAATATATTGCTTTTCGCTGGGAGGGAATGAGGTGTGGTGCGAAGTACAAACATACCGAGCTAGTTACCAATATAGACGAGAAATCATCGGATAGAGTACCCATGTTCCTCTCCCATCGGATGCACTATGACTTTGACTTTAGAGATGCAATATAGCTTAAGAAAACGCTGTGAATTATTTGCAGACTTGCATTATGCTGCCGCACAAATAATGAAAAATAGTAAAAAAATAAAAAAAAAGCAAAAATATGTTACAATCTGCCGTATTATTCTTATATTCCACGTGTGGTGGCAAATGCATACAACCAGTGTGCATCTTCGATGTGTAGTTGTAGTTTAAGCTTCTATATATTTTTATATATTGTGATAAGAGTTGTTATGCTGACATGCGAGCATTTATTTAGTTAACGAAAGAGAAACCTTCGGCGTAATACACAAGGTGTCATGGATGATAACATGAGGACGCATTAGGACCATTCACTAGCTTCAAGGTAGTATCCGCTCTCACGCACAGCATGCAGAAGACTCTGTTGGAAGCCTTTTGATTAAACGCTTGCCCGTTATCAAAACATTAAGGTCACCAAGGGTTTATTAGGTACTTGAAAAAGTTTCGAGCGCAAATACTTTAATATAGAAGATATCATAAAAGTGCAATACTCCTTCAAAATTAAATAGCAGTTGTTTTATTTCGTGCGTGGTACCTGGGCGACTTGCTGCAATTAGCAAGTTATTTTGCTGCAAGGTACAGTTTGCGCCAGATTGACGAATCGCAGTAGTTTAGTGGGTGATTTTTGTACTCAGAAATGAAGTATGAAAATCTCTTTCAACTAACAACATTTTATGCTCTGGTAGCTATCATTTATATGGTATACTAAAGCGTAATAATAAAATAATAATAATATAATAGAAAAGTTGAATGTAAAAGTTCTGCATTCTAGGGTATCATTCATATCACCTTTCGCTTAGTCCACTTTACCTACGCATCACCTTCACGTTCGCTTGCAAGCTGTGATGTTTGGTTAGCAAATGTTTAACTAGTATCACGTCTGTAGTTTCAGTGGTAATTTTTAGTCTATAAGTAACAAATTGCCTCTTATAGTTGGTAATTATACCCAAGTGAAAAATGGCTATGTCTCGTATTTTATAACGTTTCAAAACAATTAACTGGCGCTTATGAACCGTAGCTCTTAATGAAATTAGTTTCCTTCAAAGACAAATATTGACTGGTTAAAATTCTCTATTTGCTTTTAAAATGCATTAGCTTCTTGATAGATCTGTAACTTATATTAGTACTTATGAAATAATCACTGGTGCGCAGCAGGCGGGTAATCCACTTGCTCCCGCGGCGGACCTCGCGCTGCGCCCCGCGAGGAGTTATGGAACTATGGCCGTAAACATACAGATAACCAAAGATAAATCACAATTGAATTAAATTTATTTTCAGAGATTAATTACCAGCTGAAATTTATAATAAGTCCTTGATTACTCATGGTTCCAAAGCTCCTTATGTGTTGCAATACATTTATCGTTTAGGTGTAAAGATGTAGTAAATTATTTTCACAGTAAGTTAGATACTTGATTTTATTATATTTTATTTATTGTATTTCCAAAACTAAATTATCTCGTTTTTCACTTTTGAAGTGTAATACGCTTTTTTACATACCTCTATTTACATTATTTTATAATCATGATCAAATACATATTATTTTCATTCAAAATTAGATGTTTACAAAGATGCATTCCAGGAGGAATGCAGCTATCTTTGTTACGTTTAAGTTTAGTTGTTTTGTTAAAGTGTAGGTAATTAAGAGGCTATGCTCGGTTTCCACCGGCCAGTGGCCACCGCCATCTCGCCACGGCGGTGTCGTCTGTCACCATTCGGAGCGAGGCGCACGCAGCGCCGAACCACCAGCTCTGCGGCGGAGAACCCCAAAACCGACAGGCTTGCCTTTGCACCAAGTGATTTAGTTTGTATTGATCTTTTGTATGGTGTATTTAATATATGGAAAATTCTCAAAAAAGGGCGTTTCCTTGATTTTTATTTATTTATGTAAAATAAAATTATAAATTTAATTTGCTAGAGCGTCTTTTTATTTAGTAGGTTACAAGGGTTTACTTTACTTAGGTCATAAACAGTAAGCATCCAGCACGTTAACGGCTGCTTTCGGTGGCTGCTTCAAATACAACGCGTCCAAAATATGGAATGACATACCACCGCCTTTATGAAATCTTACATAAATTAACTTTTTTAAATTCGCACTTAAAAAAGCTTTCTACAGAAACACTGAAAGTGGCTAAAACGCTTACCGCGAAGAGCCAAGAGAAATAAGAAAAAATATACAAATATTTTGACGCGCGCCTGATACAAATATCAAAAGTTCAGTTCACAGGACATTGGCGAAATCGCCATTTTTTTGTATAATTTTTATAATAATACTAAACTACTGTACATAGTTATTTTTACTTGACATTGGCAAAATCATTGATTATTTCGATGGGCTCATAACATTTAAAAGAAGAAGAATGGAAAAAATAAGCAAATTACCCTTAATCTCTTTTACACTACCTGCCTACAAAATATTTTCCTTGCCATAAATACTTTGTTTTATAGTTATATATAAACCACACATACACTCTACTTTTTTTTACATACCTACACACAAACACACACCTCTAAGCAAAAGACACATTCATTTGCAATTATTATACCTACAACCACACAACTTACTCACACATTTACAACTTTCACCATTTTTTTTATTTTCTTTCCAGTTACCTTGTCCACGTTTTATAGCTCATATACGAACTCATTCACCTATACAATTAATATTATAACTACATACCTTACATTCCAATTATATTATACTATTGTAACTGCGTGTTTATTCTCTATTCTGAGTTACTTCTTTTTTACCGGCTCGCCTTAGTTCCTGACAGAATCATCAGCGTTGTAGTTCGACTGAACTGTGGCATAATGCTGAGTCGGGCCCTTTTTGCTGACACAGTACACTCAACTCTACACCTGATACAATATAACACTCCAGGCTATACCCGCAAACGTCGACTAGCCTTTTTCTTTATGATTACCATTGTACCTATGTCGTAAGCTTGTTTATAATGTACTGTGATTCAGCAAATAAACGAGTAATCTATCTGTCATTATTACCGTTACACTGTTCATGCGTAAACAAACTTATTTTAAATCGATTATTATTTTAAAACAGTTCGAAGCGATCGTGATCCTTTCATTTGGTGGTCTGGTAATATCAGGCAGTACCTAAGTTTAACAAAGTTTCCAAGAGTTTATAGTGAAAAACTCTTCTGAAGCTGATCTTGTTTATGAAAATCAATTTATTTGGCGTACTCGTGAATTTTTTTCAGTTTTAAATATTCGGTTATCGGCCGGATAGTAGAATTAGGCAGGATATCCGTTTCATCTCTACTACAAACTTCAGGCGAAACCGTAGACCTTGCGGCTAATCTTGGGACGGAAATTTTTTGGTCCTGACGGAGGCTGACTGCACAGAACGTCTTGTGCAGGGCGAGAGACGACACGGATGGTTATTATGAAATAAAGTCTGCGGGCGGTCTTTCGCATAAGTAAGTACGTACATAAGAGTCCACTAACAGAGAGAGATGGCGAGATATCGTGAGCCGAGCCACATCAGCCCCAAACAAACATACTCTGTCGTGTCCATGATGACCTCGACCGTTGAGTGCAACGAAAAAGAGAATAAGAGCTAAAAACATAGTTTTTTTTTCTGACCGAGTCTAGCCGATTCCGCGTTAATAAGCATGGGAAGGGGACTAAACATCATAAATAATAAACTTTTTTCTTCACGAAATACTCCTCCATATTACAGCTAGGAACAGCTGACGCGTTGAAATTTTTTTGAGTTTTGAGACTCTAAGAACTGACTGTAAGAACATGACGGCCTTAGCCGATTCCACGTCGATAAGTATAGTGACTCCTGTAAAAATTTTCATTTTTCCAGCGCAGCGTGAATAATAAAACATTCTTATAACTTTCAAACAGTGTAACGACTAAATCTAGTTTTTTACGATTAAAATACTTTTAGCACAATCAGACCTAGGTGCTGTGGTGCTGGAGATTGAAGAGTGACGCTGGAATAAGCGTGGACAGTAACTTTTGTAACGGTTTTGTAAATCTAGTTTTTTGCGACTAGAACAGACTATAATGAATGGCGACTTTACCTGGCTAATGGTCATTCTTGAATAAGGCATGAAATTTATAGGGTAGTTATAAGGCATGAAGCGAGTATAAATGTACAAGTCAGCATATTGGGAGGTGAGCTCTTCCACTTTCTTGCATATTGCCTCCCGACAGCAATCATCCAACCGGTAAATGCAAACTGTGATGGAATAAGTTTGCCCCACGCGACCCATTTAAGTAATCTTCATAGAGCCTCCGAAAATGAGGCCGTAATTTAAAAACTAAAAGATTTAGGATGTAAAAGTAGTTTAATAGCCAAATAATTTTTTTCTTGAAATGCCCACTCCATGACTAGGAGTTAATGCTCCGACTGTGTCATTTTCTTGAGCAGTTTCGTCATTTTTTCGTGGGCACAGAAATTTCGAAGGCGGCACACTGTCCCCCCCCCACTCACAAAATAGCGTAAAAAAATTAAACTAATTTATTTTAAAATACTGACTTTATTAATTCTGTTTTAATAACATTAATTTGCATGGCTTATTCCAGCGTCACCACAAAAGAGTATTAAAAATTTGAGTAGTAAGGTGAGAAGTGATTTAGTCGGTTTTGTTTGCAAAAAAAAGTAAATTTTGTAAGTTCGAAATTAATTTTTTTTTATAATATTATTAGTACCTGATGGTAAGCTACACGCCTGTTCATAACAACTGCAGTGTCACTCGGAGCTTTAAATCCCCAAGATCTGAAAGGGCACAGCCACCGCGCCCGTCACCCTGGGACACAAGTTGATAAGTTTCGTGTGCCTGTAATTTCACCAGCAGCACCCTAACCCTTCAAAACCGGAACACAGTGACGCTGACATTATTGCTTGGCATTATTGCTAGGGTGATGCCGCACGGGCGTTGCCGGCGCGTTGCGTCGTCGCAACGCTATTACTTCAACGGAGTGAGTGTCACACGCTCTGTCAACGCGCGCTGTTTCAACGCACCGTGTGGCATGTCGTTCTGCTTAAGGGAGATGCCACATGGGCGTTGTGTCGTCGCAATTGCGTTGTACTACACATAAATCAGAACGACATGCCAGACGGTGCGTTGAAACAGCGCGAGTCGACATTCTGATTAATATGTAGACTCATGTAGTATAACGCAGTTGCGACGACGCAACGCCAGTGTGGCATCTCCCTTATATGTAATACAACCCAGTTGCGACGATGCAACGCCCGCATCTCCCTTAAGGATATAAATGTACATAATTATCGTCCATGTTTCTTTTTCTAATGCTGTGGATTCTCAAGAATGGAAACTGGTGACCTAAAAACAAGGTTATTCTAACAGTAAATTAAAAAACTGCGTTTAAACACCCTTTTATAAGTGCTAAACAAATAATAGACTTAATAATGTTAATGTAATTAAATATATAATTTATATTTAGTTTTCAAAACAACCTTTTAAATATAAAACAGCGGTTCGACTAAATCACTTTTTTGCTTCTAGAATCGACAAGATCATTCCTCTTAATCACGGTAATAAAATTTTAAAACTTCGATTATAGCAACGCTAAAATAAATCGCGCATTTTATTTCCATATAATGGTAGAAGATTTATGTATACAAATCATGGATGTTTTATAACAAAATAATTACAATAAATTTAGTAGATAATTTTATCCATTTATCATCTGTGAAACTTTGACTAGGAATAGAGCTACATTTTTTGGATAACTTCCAGCCTACGACTTTACAAGAATGGAAATTATGTTATTTAAAATTTTGCTTTATCGTCATAATTATATATTCAATTATTCCGTTGCATTTGATAAGTCATACCAATCAATGAAATAATAATAAATAATATCACAGTCAAAAATGCGCTAACACGAATATAACAAAGAAACTTGGTCTTATCTTGTACTATCCATTAATATTAATAAATATAATATGTTCGCGCCCACGTTATTTTTTACATAATTATTATTAATACATTTCAGGGATATTCATTTGATTCTAGATTACGTAGTTATGACAAAAATATAAAACTGACAAAATATTCATCTAATAAATATTTACAATTAAATGTACAGTTGTAACGAATGTTTACATTAATTATTAACATACAGTTTGTCTTTAAGACAGTTTGGTTCTACTTTGTTTAACTGTGTATTTCTAAACATTATTGCGATAAATCAGGCTGGACTCCACTAGGTCACGCAGAACCGCATTGGTCTATCGTCAATCAAGTGGTCTGTTCTTAGGGCGCGTTCCCATTATGGCGTGACTATATATAGTCGTGCAGTTTAAAATGTCGTGTCTTGTATATCTAATGAAGTTGTTCACATACTCGTTATAGTAAAACACGGTTAACTGTAGTTCACGACTATTTTGAACTTATGACGACAGACTGTTGTGACAAAGGGAAGAGCTAGAACGGCAGTCATCAAACGATAAACAAAACGTCACGATAAAAATGTGACGACAGATAGTCGCAGCTTCAAACGATTCTGTCGTGCAAAATGATAAGCCAACTGCTGTGATCCGGCAAATTATCATCACAATCTAGTGGGAACAGCTACACAACGACAGTCGTTCAACGATAAAATAAACATCCACGACACAGTCACGACAGATAATCGTGATATGGGAATAGGCTAGAAGCGACAGTCGTCCATGGATAAAACGTTACGACATAATGGGAACGCGCCCTTAGTCATACAGCCTGTCGTCATTTATGTGACTTGTCGTCATTTATATGACTTGTTGTCGTTTATGCTCAGATATGGGCCCATCATAAAAAATATTTATTATTAAAATATTTTTATAGAAAATATCAGTTCTTCTGACTAGACTATAGGCTAGAGTCGCTATACCAATTTGTTAAATTGGAAGCGGTCACTAGCGACAATCAAATTGTTAATCATGGTAGTGGCACTCATCAGCACCGATGGATCGATCGAAATTACGCTTAAGGTCGCCTCAAATTGTCGCAGCCAAGGAATGCGACGCTGCGGTGCATTAAAACCTTGGTTAGAACAATGAAACAGAAACTTTACCTTCTACAAAAATATTATTATTTTTATGTACAATTTAATGTAACGTTATGCATACGATATAATATGGGGCAAGGTGCTAACAAGTGCGATGCGTTGCGGCGCGTACATGTGTGGGTGATATCATCACCTAAAATGCGCATGTATATTATCAAGTGGGGTCCAACCCTTTGCGTGCAAGTACACATGTAGATAAGAGAGTATACTAATGAAATGTTTTCGTTTCTCGTAGACAACAAATTCGTTAAGCATTAAAAAATGTTATTTTATTTTTATACCTAAAACGACTTCACGAAAATTGATTAATTTTCAGATGTATGTGTTGACTTAAAAGTTCACTGTTACCTATCATAGTGCATCATATGTAGACATTGAGTCGTCGGATTGCTGTCGATTCAAAATGTGACTTAGTCCATTCTCGCGCGAACTCGTAGATGAAGTACTGAAATTGAAGAAGGAAATTGTTTCAGTAAGCAGATAAAAATCAACCTTATTATAATGAATGGTTGGATGGTTACTTGGTTACGTGGTTGGCACTTAAGATGCCATTGAAAACCATTGAAAGTTCACAACTGCAATATTTACCACCGCCATTTTGGATAATGTTATTTTTTTGGGTAGTTATTTTGGGTTACTTGGGCTGTTTAGATAATTTTGATGGTGATAATACCTAATAGATTGATCACCTGAAGTTTGGTATTTTGTTTAATTAGTACGAACATGGCAATTGTGTATGAAAAGTCAAAAAAAGGGTCAAAATTACCCAAAGAATGGTAGCAGTGTTATGAGCTGTGAGCGACTGGTGCAGTCTCGCAGTTCCGGTAATACAAGCAGAATGTAGCGAAGATACGCCTGCAGCGCGACTCGACGCTGCTCGACTAACTGCGCATCCTGCGCAACACATTAGATCATATACCTCTGCGCGATCAAGCACTTGGGCGCTATGTTTTAGATTTGTTATTACACGGAATGAAAAAGTATGTAACGAATTGTAATCATTCGTAACAATAAAACACTAATTATGTAAATTATCTGGCCAAACAATTTTTTTAAGGTTTGCAATGAAATACACCATCTAATATTCAAACTAATATTTGTAATAAAAAATAATTTATTTAAGTTATTCACAATTGTTAACGATTATTATTAAATTGAATAAATAATAAATATTAACAACTTTCGCGTCGCTACAGTGAACAGATGCTACGCTTAGCATCTGTGAGAAATTCATGAAAGATTTTCTTCACTCAGGCAGGTACCTTTATAGCTACCAGCGGCTGACTAGAGATATCGCTTTAATCATTGTAATAACAGGCACGATATTATGCTGAAGGCGTTGATTCGAATCCAGCCAGATTTTTTCTTAGTGTTCGAAGTTTGTACTAATAATAATAAATATTAAATCATCAAAGAGTAATAACGAAGAAAACATCTGTTTACTACGTATGGCATAATCGAGTTTAACAAATTTCTCCAAAGGCGTATGCGAGTCGCGTCAGTGTTCTTATTTTATGCAAAAACAGACTCGGACAACGAACGCCCTTACGATCGAAACAGTACATGCCATTTAGAGCCGTGTAGCTTGACTTGAAGTTATCGTGCATTATTAACAACAAGTATTGTAATTTTATCTACTAACAATAAAAATGATATATGCACACTCACTAATAGATTATAACCCTTAGAACATACAAGCAATTGGTTATATGTTCTAAGTTTTTTTTATAATATGACGTTACGGGACGAACAAGTAGTGCGCCTGATGGTAACATAATATTGAAATTACTTAAATCGCAAAGATCTGAGGAGCATTGCCAATGCGCCCGTCACTCTGAGGCAATTTGACAAGTTCCTTGCGCCTGTAATTCACCACCACCCTTCAAAGCCGGAACGTAGTAATACTGACCAGGAAATAGGTAAGCTAATAGATAAGCAGCTCTACTACTACTAAACTTATAATCGGATTAAAATAAATATGACTTACTCTTTTCCTCAGCGTTTTCTTTGGTGGAAACTTGTAATTTGTAATATCGGGATGACACTTTCTGAGTTGCATATGTAACTCGTGGAACTTTGCATATCTATGGTAGACATTCCACTCTTCAAGACCTACTTTTAAGTATATCTGAAATTGCAAATTAACAGTGAAGTTCCTTAGTTGCTGTAACTGAGAATAGATTACTCCTTGTCATAACTAACGCATTTGCATTTCAAAGTTTTTTGGTAGTAAAAAATGTCAATGGCGCCGATTCTATTTTGTGTAACAATAAAACTGAAAATGAAACTATTTTTCCGGATTTACATCGCGTATATTTGTTTTTTCAAACAAACCGACGTTTCGGGCCCTTTACAGGTCCCATGGTCACGGTTGACTGAGGTGGTACAGTCTTCAACCAGTTATGTCTAATATTAATGCAAACCACCCTATTTTTTCCACTATAGTTACAATAGTTATTAATTAAATACCTTATTTTTAATTTTACAAAGAAAACATTCCAATTTACGCTACATTAAGTTTTACAAATAAACCTCGACCGACGACAGGTCCCGAAACGTCGGTTTGTTTGAAAAAACAAATATACGCGATTTAAATCCGGAAAAATAGTTTCATTTCCTATGTGTAACAATCGCGAAAACCTAAGAACACAATAAAACTGAAATTAAATATTTGTAGATCTCGTTTCGATACGTTAATAACTCTATTTCGGTAAAAATGTCGATTACACTAGTTATAAGGAAATTAAGTAGGAAGTTTGATAAGGCATATTGCATCTCTTTACTTTTACCTGATATACATGGTAGGACTGTCTTTTTTTGCCAACCAAAAAAGCAGTGGGAATATGAGCTTTCACGTTAGATTCCGGAAGATCTAGGACCTCAATTGTTGAAGTACTTTCAAGATCTTGAAGCCGCTTCTGCAGATATTGATTGAATTCCATAAGCTCTGCATGCATTTCTGCTACCTGTATGGATATAAGAGAATGGATTTGACTATGAAATTCATTATGATGACAAGATCTGAAATACATACCTGTACTAATTTGTTTTCATATAAACTTATTTCTTCAGAGTCACCGCTTCCGGTTTTTAAAGCCTTGCCCATCTCCACAGCAGACATGTAGTGCCTAAGCTGATCTTTTAATCTATTATTTTCTCTAAAACAACAAAAGTAATTTCAGTTCTGATTAAAAATAATAACATTTGAGGCTTATGTGAACATGACTCTTACTTGCTCAGATCCAAAATAACTTTCTCTAATTTTTGTGTTTTCTCCTTACTAGCTATCTCTAGCTGACTACATTTTATTTGTAAATTTATTAATTCTTTATCTCTACTTTCTAAAATACTATTTAAAGTTTTCTCTTCAGGTACACTTTCATCTTCAGTGAAACAAAGTTCTAAGCATGAAGTACTCCCATCTATGCTGCCGGCCACCTCTTCACTGTCACTTTCTGATATTTTTAGATTATTAATGCTTAATTCTGATACATCATCTTTGAGAATATTGTTAGTATCTATACTATTTGAAGACGAAAATATCTCTTTAGCGCACTCGGAAAGCTTTGTTAAAATTTGTGATGGGCTGTCCATTACTTTTACACTGTCCGGAAAAAAATGTCTAATACTGCTTTTGATTTCTGAACTGGTTGGTTCACTGCCAGATGCTGCATGAAGCGTTACTTTTGGGTCTGGCGAGTTGAGACAAGTAGCCGGCGCACTTTTCCACATCTCGTCATTGTGGTCAACAGTGGGCATTGACTTCCTTTTTTCTTTGTTTTGATTGATTTGTTCACTTTTATCAAATGATATAACTTGGCGTAAGGGTTTCTTTTTTTGATTGTTTGATGCCTTCATGGGCGTGGGAAGAGGTATAACAAGCTCTGCTTTATTAATTTGATTAGTTTGTTGTGATTCATTCAACTGTGCTCTGTCAATAGATAGGGCAAATAAAATAGATGATAAGCCTGAAAAAACATAAATACTAGTAGTGTAGGCACAGATAACAGTGTACATGTGTTTTATAGTATTGATAATACCTGCTGCCATATTTGGAAGTAGATTGGAAGTTTCATTGTCTCTAACCAGGGCCCCTTCCTCGTAATATTCCATAAGGAGACCATGACCAATCCAACTATGGAGATACCTAAATTAGTTGGAAATAATAAGGTCAATGGGTACATTAATCAAAATTTGAAAATTAAGAAAACAAAAATGCATCTTAAGCAATCTACCTTTCCAAAGACCTTTCATTGAGAGCTGCTCTAAGAAATGCTCTAAAATATCCAAGTGGTGTGTTAATGTTGGCTAAAATCTTAAATCTCTCTTTCTCATGTTTAGTTAAGTGTAGACAGGTGTAGCTCCACAGAGAATTGCCTGTAAAGGAAAAACAAAAAATAACAAAATAGAACAATATTTATTTCTTCTTGTAACTTTATTTTACGCAATTTACTACGCAATTTATTTTCTACTTCTCAAGCTGCAATATATTAATCTATTTAAGCTAATTAACTAAGTTGAGTGGAATTAAAAATAAGTAGTCCTTACCTACATTAATTATGTTGAATGTAAAATTCAAACCTGCAGTAACCAAACTTTGTATTGCAGAATTTGACAAGTTTGTTCTTATGCCATGACTCAAAACTTTCTCCCACTTTTCACACAGATGAACTATTCTGAAATATGGTAGTAAAAAACATTGAAGTAAGAACTTTGACTTTGTGTTTTGATCAATTAAATCTCTTCGGTACAATTGGTCTACTTTCACTATTTGTCTATGGGAAAATAAACCAAACAGGAAAGTAGACCAATCTGGAAAGTAGACGAAACAGGAAATGGACAAATTGGGAAAAACAGTGGACCAATCGGGAAAGTAGACAAAAAGGGATATGGACGAATCGGGAAAGTGGACCGTGAGGACAAGTGGACCAATTGGGAAAGTGGACGAATAGTGAAAGTGGACCAATTGGAAAAGAAGAACAATTGTACCAAAGGGAACTGGAAATATGACCAAGTTACAATTTTTACTTTTGTACAAATAATCTTTAAACTACAATATTTGTATTGGTAGCAAGATCCGTTGAGACAAGTTAGGTAATAAAATCGTAAAAGAATTTATTGAAAGTTCATAATAAAAAAAATACTAACCTTATGTCATCCTCAGTGGCTAATTCAGATTTTCCTCCAAACCGATTTTGGCAATTTTGAACACAAATGAGCAGATCTTGTAACACTTGTTTGCCACATTCTGTTCGTTTCTTAAGCTCTTCCTTGTTATCAATAGCATTCGTCAAGGTGTTTAGTATTTTGCTGTTCTAAAATGTAGAAATTTAATATTAGGGTGTTAAGACGACGCATGCAAATAAATTTTAAAATTGGTAATTTGGATAAAGCACCAGCAGATATAGAAGCGAGTAATCAAGCAAATTGCTTCTATGTAATCTCGTCGAATAATTGAAACACTTCATTATTTAATACATACCATGACGACAATTTGGAGTCGTCATTAAGAGATATTTAAAGGAAAACGATAAATGGTGTAAAATGCTTATCGTGCTTTAAACATGTATAGCAATACAAAATAAAAATCACAAACAAGTATAAGACTGTTTTTTTTGAAGACGGAGTAAAATGACATTTGCAGGGTTGTCATGTGAGTTTTCGTATTTTTTTATTATTATTAATAATTTTGACTTGGATACAAGTACTTTGAGCCTTGTCTTCGTTTAATTATATTTCTGTAAATATGGCCGCCACAAAGAGGATAGGCAATTTGAGGCGGCGTGCTTGGATTGACTCGGGATTCCTTAGAACGGGCGAATTTTAATTCGAGATTCGTATAATTTCGCGTTTTAATCTTCGATTAAGGCACAATAGCACTATCCTATTTCACTTTAAACTAGATTTCACAAAATAATTGAAAGTCAAAATAAAAACGACACTTTTCCCTCCAAAAGGCCCAGAGCGAATCTCCCAGTTTTCGTAAAATTTTAAATAGTCGTATAGTTGTTGTCGATAGTTTGATAGAAAAATTGTGAAAGAGTGTAAATGACAAAAATGTTTCGATTGTGAATGTTACAACGTTCTAATGATTACTAATTGCCATTACCTTGCAATTACAATTGTCTTCTTTATTCTTACTTTCACAATTGTATTCATTAGTATCGAAATCAATTTTTATACATATACCACTTTTTCATAAGAATAGGAGACTTGATTATCTGTATTGAATTAACACAAAAAATTTTGAAATCAGTCTCCTCTTAATTTTTAATAGTTCTTAATAGAATATATTATTATGTGAGTATAAAGTTACATAAATTGATAACTTAATTGAACCTGAAGCACAGCAGTTGGACAAATAATGGGCCGATGAACATTTATATGAAACAAATTAGGCAATTTACTGCATAACGTTATCAATATTCAGTCGATAATCGATAGAATATTTACCGACTGCAAACACTAGCTACTTGCAAGTAAAACGACCCAGCAGTCCACCGCTCAGGCAGAATAGCGCTCACACATTATTCTGCGTATGGTCCACGTATCGAGAGGACGCATTACAGGATTGTAGGTTGGCTTGCACGCATTAGTTTCCATAGTCTAAGCAGCGACTACATTCATAATCCAGCATTAAGCGGCGGACGGCAAGGTGGACTGCAGTGCAGGATAATGAATGCCCCTTTTAGCCAGTGTTGCCAGGCTTTTGCGAACTTAATTCGCAAATTTATGTGTGTTAAGCTTAGAGGATGGAAAAAAATGTTAAGTAGCCGATATTCGCCCAAGTCATATAATCCCTAAAAATCAAGGAAAGGGTGTTGAGCGCATCTCTGGAGCCTCAACACTATTATCGCCATCATCATGGCAACGAATAATGTGTTTCAAAATTCTCAGTGGTGCGCACAGATTAAAACGATTGTCAATCTCAATGTTTACCAATTCGTGTTTCAACCTAAAATAATCTTAACATGGTAGCAGAGCGTATAAATAAATAATAAATGGTTAATTATTTAATTGGGATGGCGACTGCGGCAACCGTACTGCCAATATGAAATGAAAAAGCAAATTTCAGTAGCTGGAAATGTCATCTGAGATTAATACTAGAAGAAAAGCAAGTAAATTATGTATTGCTAGAGAAAAAAAAGGGAAACTTTGCCCAACTACGAAAGGGACGATGCGAGAGCACGATCCATAATAGTCCAATGCTTATCGGACAAATATATAGACATTGTAAAAAAGGGCGAAACAGCAAAGAAAATGGTGGAAAACCTTGAGGGAATTTTTTAAAGGAAGAGCGCGTACAAAAAACTTTATTTAAAAAGGAAACTCATAACCCTGAAGTGGGAAAACAACGAGTCGCTTCAAGAGCATTTGATGAAAGTCGAGCTTTAATAAATGATTTGGCAGCGATTGACGTGAAAGTAGACGAAGAAGATCAAATTTGTTGTTTATTGTCGTCTAAGCCGAAGATATACGACCAAGTTATAACTGCAATAGAAACGATGACGATAGATAAGAAGTGAAATTATGAATTTGTAAAGTCAAGACTGTTAGACGCAGAAACAAAAATGAAGAACGATAATGACAAAACAGAGAGCAAAGAACAATTCGAGAATGCGTTTTTCAATTGTTATTCTTGTGGGAAAGCAGGACATAAGTCATTCGAGTGCAGGGCTCAAGGCCTAGGACGAGGCTAAGGACAAAGGAGAGAACCGGAGCGAAGTCGAGGAATGCAAAGAGGGCGTGATATTATACGAGGAAGAGGATTTAGAGGAGGACGAGGACAATCATATGGACGAAACCGAGGTTTCACTAGCCATCACCAGAGAGCATCTACAGCAGAAGTACAAGAAATACAGGAATCGCAAATTGGGTTTATTCTAAGAAAGATACTGGCAAACTTGAGCGACACTGGAGGTATAGAATTAATAGTTGACTCTGGATGTACAGAACATTTAGTTAATGAGGAATACGAAAGGTATATGTCAGATATTATAGATTTGGACCATAGCATGAAAATATATGTGGCAAATGGCCAATGTATAACTATAAACAACTTACCTCTTAGCTTAAAATTAAATACCAAATTTATTTGTAAGTCAATGACCAAAATACAAGTATTGGCATTGACACTTTAATTGTCAAAAATATAATTTATTATCAGTGAAAAAGATAGTTGATGCAGGGTTTAAAGTAAATGTTACTAAGTACGATGTACAAATATTTAATAGAAACTGCTATTTAAGCAGTGTATGTCATAACAAGTTGTATAGAATAAAAGCTGTTATGTAGAGTTGAAATGTGAATTGTGAGTAACGATAATATAGATGACTTATGGCATAAAAGGTTAGGGCATTTAAATAGGAAGGGTCTTAACATAATGAGGTTACCTATTTCCGATAAAATTTGCACCCCGTGCATGGAAGGTAAAGAAAGCTACACGAAATCCTTTCACGACAGTGCCAAAGCCGAGAACGAGTATGATCGTCGAGCTGCTGCATACAAACATAGCAGGGTCAATTAAACAGCCAGGACTAAATGGTGAGAAATATTTTATGACTATTATCGACGATTTTTCACATTAATGTGTTGTTTATCCATTAAAGTGTAAGTCAGATGCGGCTGAGAAGCTGATTAATTATATTCTGAGATTGGAAACAGATTCAGGAAATAGGTTAAAACAATAAGATGCGATAATTGGGGCGAATACACTGCGAACAAATTACGACCGTTTTGTGACAGAAAAGGGACAAGGATAGAGTATACCGTGCCATACACCCCTCAGCAAAATGGCGTTGCTGAGCGGATGAATAGCACATTGTGCGATAGAACTAGTTCTTTATTAGCGGTGACCAAGTTACCTAAACATTTGTGGTGCGAAGCTATTCAATGCGCAGCGTATCAATTGAATAGATGCCCTACGTGGGCTATAAAATTCAAGACGAATGAATTGTTTTATAAGAAAAAATATTTATCTAGACTAAGAATATTTGGTTCAAGAGCATGGGCCACAATGATACCGAAACGACAAATTTGATTAGAGAGCTAAGGAAGTGAGAATGGTAAGATATAACACTGTGGGATACAGACTTTGGGACCCAGGAAATGATAAAATAATAATATCACAAGATGTGAGATTTGATGAAGGTAATTTACAATACAAAAAAAAGAGTAAAAACGAAGAAATGAAGTATATATTACAGAAGGAGACGCAAGAGAATAAGCAAGAAGAGACTGTCAGTACAAATGAAAAAGAAACTGGGACATTAAAAATGACAAAATCGGAAAGAAAAGTAAAACCTCTCACGTCTCTGGAACATTACGAAACTAACATGGTTTTATGTCTATATAGTGTTGCACTAAACTATTTCGAAGAAGCTATTGAGAGCACAGAATGGAAAGAAGCAATAAACAAAGAACTTAATGCACTAAAACAACTCGAAACATGGGAAGAAGCAGAACTACTCGAAGGAAAAAAAGGCAATTGAAACGAAATGGATATTTAAACAAAAAGGAAGATGATACAAAGAAAGCTAGACTGGTTGTAAGGGGGTTCCAACAAAAGAAAGACGATGTTTTAGATAACTTATATGCACCTGTTGCAAGACAAACTACAATAATAATGATACTATCTAAAGCAGTAAGAGAAGACCTAAAGATTCTGCAATTGCACATATCAACTGCATTTTTAAACGGAAAACCGAAATCGAATGTATACATTAAAATACCGCAAGGACTGGAAATGGAACATGTAAATAAAGTTTTGAAACTCAAAAGAGCGCTTTATGAGTTGGTCGAATGTCCTAAATGCTGGAACGATACAATAGACGAGTTCGCAAAGATAAATGATTTTGAACGCTCAGATTATAACTATTGCTAATAATGCTATTGTTAATATATGTCGATGATATAATATTAATTGGAAATTACGTAAAGATAAGGACGGAGCTGAAAAAGAGGTTTAATGCCAAAGAATTAGGATACATGAAATTTTTAGAAATGGAAATAGAAAAAAATGAAAAGACCCTAGTGGTAAAACAAACTAAAATGGTGGAAAGAATATTAGAAAAAAATAAAATGACTCAATGTAAAGGAATTAAAACACCTATGGAAAGGAACTACAATATACTTACTTATAAATAATGATGATACAAGTAGACTGGATGTGCCTTACAGAGAATTAATAAGTAGTCTAATGTGACGGTAACTACAAGACCGGACTTGACCTGTAGATCATATCTCAGTAGGTTTTTAAATAAGCCAAATGAAGGACCATGGGAAGCTGGGAAGAGAATTATTCGCTATTTAAAGGAAACTAAGGAAAAAGGACTAATTTTCACCAAAGACACTTGATTCAAACCTACATGGATTTTCTGATGCAGACTGGGCAGGAGATAAAAATGATAGAAAAAGTGTAAGCGGTGGCATGATTTCACAAGGAGAAAATCTTATCGCTTGGTTTTCCAAGAAACAGCAATATGTTGCATTATCATCCGCTGAGTCGGAATATATTGCGGCGGCGTCTGTAGCTCAGGAACTCGTTAATTTAAAAGGAATTAGCGAACATTTAGGATGCAAAGAAAATGCTATACTTCTTGTAAATAATTTAAGAGCTATATCTAAGGCAAAAAATTATGAAACTAAAGGAACAAAACACATTGACATAAGAGTACATTTTTTAAAGAATTTAGTGGCGCGTAATGTTATAAACATTGAATACATTACATCTGCAGAAAACTTGGCTGACATGATGACGAAAAGTTTGTGTAAAGATAAGTTTAATACTTTCATAAACAGGTTTATGTGTTAGTTTTATATGTTGTTAAGTAAATGACAAATGTTGTACCAATTTAACATGTTATCATTTAGGAGGAGAGTAACTGAACAGTATATATAAGTTTTGTGAAAGTAGGAAGAGATTTTTATGTTGTGTAATAATTGTTTCATTTAGTTTTTTAATATGTAACAAATGCGAATTGTGTGAGAATTGTGAGTTATACTGAAGTGTACTGTTTTGCAAAACCACGCAAGTTATTTTATGTAGGTATTATACTTGCTGAAGTTCGAAATTGCAGTTTTGTAGCAAATTAAACAAATGTTTAGTTTTAATTTGAGGAGAGTATTGAGCGCATCTCTACAGCCTCAGCACTATTCCCGCCATCACCATGGCAACCAATAATATGTATTTCAAAATTCTCAGTGGTTAAAACTTGGTTCTCAGAGATTAAAACGATTGGCAATCTCAATGTTTTCTAATTCGTGTTTTAACCTAAAATAATCTTAACAAAGGGAATATGAACTCACTTATTTCTCCAATTCCCCACACGTAGTAATACTCAAACCCCCAAATGAGGTCTTTCACAACTCCATTAACCACAAAATCCCCAATCAAATTTGTAATTCCCCAGACATTTTATTAGGTAGCCTAAAATCGCCATTTCCTATTTCAAACATAAATGGCGAAAAATCGCCTAATCTGGCAACACTGCTTTTAGCAACGGGACGAGTTGTATTTATTTCAACTCGAGTTATTCGAGTTGACGTGATTGCTGCTCGAGTTGACTTTTGAGTTGAGTCGTTCTCACTCGGCGTCTGACAGCAACGGCAAGTCGCGAGAAGAACTCGAACCGACGACGATTTACCGAGTTTGGCACGATCGACCGGCAGGCCGACGAAGACACGAGCGTACTCCAAAGGTCGCCGAACCGACCGAGTGAGAACGAGTAGCCAATGCGCTGTATGAATGAAGTATTTGGGTCAGCGCAGCACGGGACGGGTACCGAACCGAGTTAGCTCGAGTTCATAAAAAAGTAGCTCGAATTACTAGAGAACGAGGATTCTTTGCGAGTGCGAGTAACTCGAGTTAATCAAGTTAATTAAGTCGACTCGCCCATCGCTAATTTTACTCCACCTTCAAAAAAGATAGGTAAGGTGAATTCACAATACACAAATTCTGGTAATACATTGCTGATTTCGCCAATTTAGCCCCTGATTGGGCAATTCAAGGTCATATCGCGCAACGCGATAAATTGCGGCAATATATTCCCGGAATTTGTGCACTGTGGATCCAGCTTTACATTTAAGACTTAAGTCCAACTCTATGCCGCTTACGATAAGAACGCTCCACAGTACAAAGTGTCAAGCTTGATGTGCTCTTGACTGTACCCGCAAACTAATAAGAGTTACTACGTACTGTACCATACATGCATTCACATTGCAAATAACATTTTGTCCACACCTTCCGTCAAATCAGTGTTGCCAGGTTTGTATCTTTATCATTGCTGTTCATAAATGTAATACATTAATACACTGCAAATTATACTTAAAATTATAACTATAACAAATATTGTTTCATTTTGGTATATTTTAACAAATTTACTCATTTACTATTTCTTTTTGTAAGCTGGTTGAGAGATTAGTTAAAATTAGTATGCATGCAACGTAAAAATGTGAAAAGTCCCCATCTGTGTTAAAGTAAATTCATTATCCTGCATTGCAATTCGTTTTGCCGTCTGTCGCGCAATGCAGGATTATAAATGTAGTCGCAGCATGCAAGCCATCCTTCAATGCATCCTGCGAGACACCATCCATACGCAGGTTAGGGTGTGAGCTGGTTCTTGCCTGCACGGAGGGCTGCCATGCAGGTAGTCAATAGGTCGTTTTATATGAAGTTAAGTTATCTTGCTTGCCATTGCGCGGTTGCGCCTCACACAATGCTTTATAAAGTCAAATTTAATCTGTAGGATTGTATAAAATGGCGGATTTTTGTATTTACCATAAGTATTAATGTTCATTTTGAGTTTCTTAATAAAATTATTTGTTACCTTTTAAGCAGTTTGCCCTACAGCCAATGCTCTTAAATTAATACCAAATTCAAGGTCAAGCAAAATCATAGACAAATAAGTAAGCAAAATGGCGGATGCTTGCCGTCAATTTTCCAAAATGGCGTCTTTTCTCTTGAATTGATTTTGTGTAAACGTATTGTGGGATTTCATATCTATTGACGCCACTTTATTCAATTTAAATGTACTATTGTGTTTAGCATCTTAGCTAATTTTTGAAGCTGCCATAAGTGTAAGTTTATAAAGGCCTGTAGAAAGTGAAATTCGCTATGAGTAACTACGACGATGAACAAAGTGAGGATGGAGAATTAGCGCGGAGTCCTGTCCAAGACGAAATGGATTTTAGGTAAGTGGGTTTTATTTGAACTCTACCATAGGTCTTTTAAATTGAGCACGTTTAATTGGGTTTAAAGTGCGTTGTGGTCTTTGTTCGATTAATTGGTTTTCGCCGTTTTATACACATCGATCCTTTTAGATGTTAAGTTCAGTAAGGAAACGAAATGAATATGAATTGGCTTACAATTCTTCCGCTATGTTGTGGTATTATCTATGTGGATACTACTGTATGCTGTCATGTTTTCCCTATGAGTCACACACTTTTTATGTGTTACTTAAACCTGACTTCAATTAACGAAATTGCCTCGTGTTAATATTAATGCCATATAATATCAAATAAATAATTAAACCATTAGATGTGTACTTGAAAGCTCCACTGTGGCTCTACAATGTATAATGTTTTACTTATACTATGTAAGAACTCAACTGCCTCCGTGGCCGAACGGTTACCATGCCGGACTGCCACGCAGAGGTCCCAGGTTCGATTCCCGGGCCGGGAGAAATGTTTGTATGCCTTACATTTATTTCTCTCGTGAGTTTGGGTGTAATTTGTGGTTGTCTATGTGTGTGTCCATGGCACCCGCGACACAGGGTTTCCCTAGTGCGGGGCTATGTTGAGTGTGTGTGTTATATATTTATTTATTTATTTTAAGAAAATTGCATCATCCTATTTATTTATTTAGTTTCCATACTAACTAAATATATGAAATAAGGTAAGTTTGTGAAGTACATGTAATTGGTATTGGAGCAATTTTTTTTGCTAGCAACAGGAAATTATTATATCATCATGATTTCCTCCATTTTTAGTTTATCTGATGAAGATCGTGATAATGCAGACTCTCTGGTCATCAAACCACCACAGGTTGTGGTTCGTGTATCACACAGGGACAAAAGGAGTCACAAAAGGTCTGGCAAAGATAGATTTAAGGAAACCTCCCGAAAGGATAAAAAACTCATGTATAATAGGTGTGTATTATGTTTTTTTTATTGTATGCGCTGTGATATAGAGTAAACCCACTCACAATATTTTGTTAATAAACTATTTACAGAGAAAGGGAGAAACCTGAAAAAAATAGAAGAGAACTTAATAGGAACCCTGAACGTGAAGAAATGTCCAAAGAATACTATAGAGAAAAGCAATACTACAGGGAAAACAGAGACAAAGATGTATATAGGGATAAAGATCCCTACAAAGATACAAAGGAGAAAGAAATGTATCGTGGGGAAATGAGAGAAAAGGAGATGTATAGAGATAAAGAAATTTATAGAGAGAGAAGAGAAGATCACCATAGAGAAAGAGAAATGTATAGAGAATCTTATAGAGAACAAGTTAGGTCTAGAGAGTCCTATAGAGAAATGCAAAGGGAACGCGAAATGTACACAAGCCGTCAAAACAAGTATGCAGACCCGGAACGAAAACGCCAAGATCCTGAAAGACAAGAAAGAATAGAATCAAGATTGAGATTATTGGCTGAGGACAGTAACACTAATCATAATAATGAAAAAGAAAATAGGGACAAAACATCAGGTGACAAAGAATTGGAAGATTTGAGAAGTAGATTACTTAGTAAACGAATATCCAAGGAACTTCAAGGTCAAGATGGAAAAAAAATGGATTATTCTGATAAACCTGGAGATAGACATTCAGATAGAACACTAGATAAGCATCATCAAGCAAGAAGAAACAGATTAATTGAAGCAGGTATAAACCTATCTTTAACAAAGTTCGTGTTGGAACATAATTATCATTTTATTGGATATGATATTTTTTCTTTGCAGAACGTGAAATGGAGAGGAGAAAATATGAATCTAGAAATGAACTGGAAATGAGGCGTGAAGACAGACGCCGTCGAGGCAAGAAACGCTCCGCAACTCCTGAAGAGACATCTAACAAAAAAAGTAGAACCCAACAGTCACCTAACACAAAGTATGAAGAAGAAGTAGTGACATTATTGTCAGAAAGTGATGCTGAAGATAGGAAGAGTGTCTCACCCAATTCAGAACCTGAAGAAGGTGCTAACATTAAACTTATCTAATATTGTGATTATTTTTGATAATTACTGCATATACTTAATGTTGTTTAAAATTTCTTTTCAGGTGAACATTCAAACACTGAAAGTGATGATGATAGTACAAGTACATCCTCAGATTCTGAAATTGATTCAAAGTCAGAGGAGGAGGAGGAGGAGGAGGAGGAAGAGAAAATACCAGAAGATAAACCTGAAAAACCTGCTGAAGAGAAAGTTGTAGAGAAACCTAGACCAAAATCAAAATCCAAATCTCCTACCCCAAAATTGCAACAGGCCAGCCCTTCTTCCAATGAGTCTAGAAGGTGAGGCTTGTTGAAGTCCATTGTACTTATCTTTTACCAAAATATAAAATTATCAACAAAGGGATCATTATGAAAAATTTCTTTCAGGTCACATTCCAGATCCAGAAGTAGAAGTAGATCGCATTCCTTTTCCCCTCCACCTCTTGGTGAAAATGGTAAAACTACTGAGGAAGAGAAACCTAAAGAAGATGACGAAAAAGCCAGACAAAGGGAGGAGGCTATCAATGCCCTCCCACCATATTTTCCAGCACTACAGGTAAGTTTTACATGTTTGAAGTTAAGTTTCAATATTTATCACTTAAAGAGCTTCACATTTTCTTTTTATATACAATATTAGAAATAATTTGCATATGTATTTTTTTAATAAATTGTCTTGATATGTGATATTTATCACTCAATGAAATGTTCAAATGTACAAATGTAAACCCAGAAAATCTCTTGTGTATATCACACTGTGAAGAAATTATTTTATGGAATCATTTCATTTGAATAAATGTGTTAACAAGTTAAGGTAAAAAAAATAAAACTCAGGTAAATAAGAAGAGCACAATGGCACATTGGCTCATTGTTTAAAAGCGTGATTCTGTATCAAATTTCTAAATGTGTTACTTTTATAGGGCTGTCGGTCAGTTGAGGAGTTTCAATGTCTCAATAGAATTGAGGAGGGCACCTACGGAGTTGTTTACAGAGCTCGCGACAAGACCACTGAAGAGATTGTCGCTCTGAAACGTCTCAAAATGGAGAAGGAAAAAGAAGGATTCCCTATCACATCACTAAGAGAGATCAATACATTGCTCAAGGTAGGATCACTATCTCATTTTATTTTAGATATTAAGCTCACTTGAGCCATCACAATGCATCACTGCTCTCTGTTAAAAGGTATACAAATATTTTCAATTGTAAATTATGCACAGCTTGTTTGAGCCGCGAGTTGTGAAGCACTCGATGGCTCATGTGTTGATTCCATTTAATTAATGCCATGTATTTTATTCCTACAGGCCCGGCACCTCTTACCTGCAAGAGGGTTGTGCTAGAGGTGTGACCCAATTGCAAGGGTTAACAACTTCGATACACGGGCGGGCCTAAGTATCTTATAAGGAATTTATTCCAGGGGACACACCCTCCAATGCTAACTCCTTCTTGCATATTTCATCCAACTCAGCATTTAGCAAAAAGTAATTTTCAAAGATGACCTTTCTATGAATACGAACTTTGAAGAATATTTGAGATCGAGATACAACATTATTATACTACATATAACCAACCTACCTACTGTAAGTCAAGAACACCATTAATGCTAAAGGTAAATTTATTAATGATGTACCAACTATGAGTGAGAGAGTTGGTACATTTTGAGATAATTTTTACTTACAAGTGAGGAACAACTACTTAATCATCTTTATTTGTCTTCCTATGTAGATGAAATTTTCCATAAACTGGTGGATGTTGTGAAGAATAAGTCTTTGAAGTTTTTGTATGAAGAGGTGCATTGAATACAATAAATAGTAGTTGTTCTTCTTGAATGGTGGTTTTAATATTGCAATCAGTATTTGAGATGGGCATTGCAGACAGAGGAAACTCATCAAAACTGATTTTTTTTAGCACCTCATTCCAGGGTACTGACCAAAGGCAAGCCATATGATCAAGGGGAGCAAACAAAAGGTAGAAGCTGCCATTCACTTAAATCTACTGACTCCAAGTGAGGAGAGTAAAATGAACACCTACCATAAATTGAGCATGTTCTATGTAAGTTACAGATAAGTGGGATACACCAGAATTCATATAATTACCAAGTTCCTATTCATTTGGAGAATCAAGTCAAGAAAAGGGAGTCAAGAAAATATTGCATGACGCGTTATCGAATAATTTCTTTTCAAACATTGATAACTCGCTGCGACTAAGCATATTGTAAATAGAGGCAAAACTTGAAAGGAAAACAATATTTTACGATGCAGAATTAGAATCTAAACTCAGTTCTTATTTGTCGTCAATATGGCGTATTCGTCGCATTGTGACCCAATCACATATACTAGTTTAATGTACCTTTAAACATATGGAAATCTAACATAGATATAAATATAAAGATGATACTCTTTATACTTACGTAACAAAAATGACTAATATTGCATTTTTAGTGTTTACCTTAATAGGTTTCCTTCCTTGTTCTGCATTGAGGACATCGTTGATGTTCTCTCATCAGCGTATGATGTGTGAAATGTTGTCCCGTTATTCATGGTTGGCTCGTCCAATGATATGGTACCAATTAACTTGCGGACATCGATCCTCTATCGTAAGACCTTCTGTCTGTCTGGACACTTATCATTGAGATGATGTCTCTACCCCACCCAATAACAAAAAGAAATCAAAGGTTACAAGTCTGGAAATGACGATTAGTTTTGCGTCATATTTATCGTCTAACAGATTTATTGCGCAAGATGCGTAACTACTTTCGCTCTTCTTTGAGTGTAACTCCTATGAGTATAACGCTTCAGCCCATTGTGCTGCTATGCAAAACCGTAGACTACTGTGTTCTGTTTTTAAAACATGTTATTAGGTTTTATTAGCAAAATTCCAAACGTTAACATCATTTAGTCAATCACGACGTCGTCGTGTGTACGTTGATTTCAACCGAGCTATCATCTAAAATGCTTGATATCAAATTTGAAAGGTTTTACTCTTACTAGAAGGGAAGGATATCTCATTATATCGTTTATACGATATTGTTTTTGAAAAAAGTTTGACTAACAATGTTTGGTGCTATGTTCTCCAGGTCTCCGTCACCTCGAGAGACGAGTCTAATTTAATTACTCTCAATTTTTTTATACCAACTGTTTAAGGAGATAACCGCGCGTTAAAATTCGCATTTTTTCGTTTCTATTACCAATATACACCTTTGTAAAATGACAAATGTGTTGATACATGTAATGTCTCTTTCTGACATATATAAAAATAATAATAACGAAATTTATTCTATGCATCGTTATTTTACTTTATAAAACATATTTATTGAACGGACAAACATATTCATTGAATTGAACATTATATTTTAACAACAAAGACGCCTCCATTTACATGTCTACCTTTAAACTATGCCAACGACAAAGACGGTTGACAGTGTAAACTGGAGCATACTATTGACTGTACATATGTTGATTATATATTGATTACCGTGACTGTTAACAGTCATCATGATAAAAATCAAGTTGGGCTTGATCAGGCCACCAATCATTTCAGTCACAGTTTGAAATTGATATGAACTTGTTTGTTGTTTTTAACAGATTTACTGGTGTATCCCAAAGTATCCTCAAGTAGATTGTCTACCTTGGTCATGCCCTGAA